CTCTCGATGATTCCTTCGGGGAATTAGTGAACCTCAAGGAGTTTGATGGACGCTTCAATGCTATCACCAATATTGATGCTCTCTCTAGCCTTCCACGACTAGAGCAGATATTCTTTGGTCACAATCTTGTATCGCGTTTCAAAGGTTCCTTCCCGAGGTTGCGAAGTCTATATCTGGATCACTGCCCTATGACGCAATTTGATGTTGACGCCCCTATGCCAACCTTGACCTCTCTAAACCTCGCCTCTGGCAAGCTCTCCCAATTCAGAGATACAATTTTCGAGAATTGTCCGAATATAACGAAGCTCGTCCTCGACAAAAATCATATTTCCTCGGTTTCGCCTCAGATCGGCAAGTTGCGTCGACTCGAACGCTTCAGCATGATCAAGAACCCCCTATCATCTTTGCCTCCGACTATGGGTTGCCTTGCAGAGCTCAAGCATCTCAATCTGAGGGAGTGCAATTTGAATTCTCTACCAGCCGAAATTTGGCATTGTGCCAAGCTGGAAATACTCAACATCTCCTCCAACATTCTGTCGTCCTTTCCAAAATGCGGTGCTCCGTACCCTCAAATTCCCGGTGAACCTGCAAGCACACCTGGGACTACACCAGGCATCGCTGAAAACCCCAGCTATGAAGATGTAGGTCCACTGGATGAACAAAATCTACGTCGACCCAGTCAAACGTCCAATGGTGGTCTGAATCTTGTGTCACCGAACGGGCATCGGAATCCTTCAACTGCCCAATCCACTAGGAAGGTATCGAGGGCATCACCATCATACACCGACCCCAACTCGGGGCATCGGAAGGACTCAAACTTCTCTCAGCAAATGGCAATGACGTTTGCGGCGTCCCTTCGAACACTTTCACTTGCCGACAACAGACTTGAAGATGATGTTTTCCGGGAACTATCCTTGCTCCCAGAGCTGCGTATTGTCAACCTTTCCTACAATGACCTGACGGAACTACCGCAAGGAATTCTCAAAAGGTGGCCATTGATTTCAGAGCTGTACCTGTCCGGTAACGAGTTGACCTCCCTCCCATCCGATGACCTAGAAGAGGGAAGCAACCTCAAGGTTCTTCATATCAACGCAAACCGGTTCCAAGTCCTGCCTGCAGAGCTTTGCAAAGTCAGCAAGCTTTCTACTCTGGATGTGGGGAGCAATGGACTCAAATACAACGTGTCAAACTGGCCTTATGATTGGAATTGGAACTGGAACCGTAATCTCAAGTATCTGAATTTCTCAGGCAACAAGCGTCTAGAAATCAAGCCAAATATCGCCTCCCTGGGTCCTCCGGCCGCCAATGGTGCCGACCTGACTGATTTCAACTCCCTGACTCACCTCCGTGTTTTGGGACTAATGGATGTCACACTCACCATTCCCACAATCCCAGAGGAGACTGAAGATCGCCGTGTGCGTACATCTGCCTCATTGGCTGGCACTCTCGCCTACGGTATGGCCGACTCTCTTGGCAAGACCGAGCATCTATCTATTATTGATATGATTGTCCCACGGTTGAAGCAGGATAATGTGGAAACACTCCTGGGAATGTTTGACGGACAGACACTTTCCAGTGGTGGTTCTCGCGTCGCAAAGTACTTGCACGAAAATTTCACATCTACTTTCTCGTATGAGCTTAAGAAGCTGCAGCGAGATCACGGCGAAACACCAGTAGATGCTCTCCGACGAGCATTCTTGGCATTGAACAAGAATATGGCAGGCTCTGCCTACAGATCCATTGATGACCGTGAGATCCGGCAGTACCATCGAGGATCGACTGCGGCCAAACTGCTCAATCAGGACGACATTCAGTCCTGGGGTGTCGCTACTGTCTTGTATCTGAACAACATGGACTTGTACGCCGCTAATGTCGGTGATGCTCAGGCTATTTTGATCCGTTCAGATGGTTCAATGCTTTCCTTGACGCAAAACCATGATCCCGCGGAACCTAACGAGCGTGCACGCATTCGTGCAGCGGGAGGTTTCGTGTCTCGCACCGGAAAGCTGAATGACGTACTCACCGTATCGAGGTGCTTCGGCCACTTCCCTATGATGCCTGCTGTCATTGCCGCCCCTGCCACAATGCATGTCACCTTGACGGAACAAGATGAGATGATCGTGTTGGCATCAAGGGAACTCTGGGATTATGTCACTCCGGAAGTGGTGATTGACATTACTAGGAGAGAACAGCCAGATTTGATGTTTGCAGCTCAAAAGTTACGTGATTTGGCCATCTCATTCGGTGCCACCAACAAGCTGATGGTAATGATTCTTGGCGTTGGGGAAATTCAAAGGCGACGCCCAAAGCCTCGTCCTTCTCTTAGCACTGCCTCGTCCACGTTTGCTGAGGAGCAGATCATCCCAACTGCCAAGCGTCCCAAGAAGCGCGATGGTCCTGGAGATTCGCGACTCGCGCGCTTCGAACATGTGAATGCTCCCGAGGGTGAATTGACTATCATGTTCACTGATATCAAGAAATCTACGGGTCTATGGGAAGTTTGTCCGGATGCGATGCGCTCTGCTATTCAAATCCACAATGACATCCTGCGCCGGCAACTTGCGATCTTCGGTGGCTACGAGGTCAAGACTGAAGGCGATGCTTTCATGGTGGCATTCTCAACCACGACGGCTGCCTTGCTGTGGTGCTTCAACTGTCAAAACCAGCTTCTTGAGGCTGAGTGGCCTACAGAGATTCTCGATCAGCCCCAGTGCCGAGTTGTGGTCGACATGGACAATAATGTTATTTTCCGTGGCCTGTCTGTCCGCATGGGTGGCCATTGGGGCGAGCCTGTGTGCGCGAAAGATCCGGTCACCAGTCGAATGGACTACTTCGGTCCAATGGTGAATCGTGCTTCGCGAATCTCTGGCGTCGCGGATGGAGGACAAATTTTCGTTTCCTCCGATTTCATGACCGACATCCACCGCAGCCTCGAGATTTTCGCGGATGCTGAGCGTTCTGCATCCACTAGCTCGACCGACAGTAATCAACGGGGCGATAGTCTCGGCCACAACATTCGTCGTGAACTGCAACAGCTCAACAGTCAAGGTTTCGTTATCAAAGATCAAGGTGAAAGAAAGCTGAAGGGTCTGGAAAATCCGGAACCCCTCTACCTTGTTTACCCCTCCTCGCTTTCTGGTCGCATGATCACTTCGGAAGAATCACAGGATCGTGATAGCGCCGTTGCAACTATCAGCCCAGATAACCAACTTGACATCCAGACAAACGTCATTTGGCGTCTCTGGGAAGTCACACTCCGTCTCGAACGCCTTTGCGGTGCTATGGAGCATCCAAGTGAACCAAGCTTCAGAGAGCCGAACGTCGCTCTGTTCAACATGATCAAGAGGCACGGAGGTGAGCTGAACGACTCGACCGTTCTCAGTTTGGTCGACCAACAAGTCACCCGCATCGAGGTTAGTATCACACAGGCTCCCCTTTCGTTCTACTTCCAATCCTGACAAATTCCAGGTATGCATCAATACACTCTCCATACGCCATATGATGCGTCCCTTCAAGCCAGGCGATACCCTCAGCGATCACGCCGTACCCATTAGCGAGGTACTACAGCAATTACAAACACAACTTGCTGAATTCCAAGCTCTCAAGGAGCAGATGGCCGTTGGTGCTGCAGGCAACATCGGCGGTCCACCATCTCGTGATATGATGGGTCATTCAGGGAGTATCGACAGTGGTATTACCTCCGCGTCGTCATCTTCCCTCAATCTCAACAGTGATCTCAATCGCTCTTTTGATTCTGGGCGCGGCTACCATTGATTTCTGCCACCTGCTCTATAGCACTAATTTCAATCCCACTTTGGTTGGCTTTCACTTCCTTCTTAGCTTTTCTTCTCCTTGATTGTATCTCTTTGGCTTTATTTTGGCGGGCGGCGTCCCACTGGCGGGAGGGTGGTCTGCAGATTGTTTTGTATAAAGCATTATGGCATGGAGCCAAGGTGATTGTTTTGAAAAACTGCTTCCGTTATTGGCTTTGATCTACTTTCAGTTTTTGGGCTGTAATTGGCTCTGACAGTGGATATATATTACAGTCTATGTGATACTTTCATGGGCTTTTTTCATATCATTTTGTTTGATCTTCACAAAAATAGTCGGCTGCTTATTCGGTATCTGCCCTTGAAAATGCAGGCCTATAGATCTGCTTCATTTGGCTAATAAGGGATGTTGAATGTGACAACATACTGACGTTTTTTTTGATGTCTTTTTAGATGTTTATGGGGGAGTGTTCTATGTATAACCAGGGACTATGTCTGGAATTTTCCTCCCATGGACACCTATCCGGTTCGAGGTATATGACTTTATCGCAAGGACTTTGCGATATATTATTACAAAGCCTTTTTTTACGATCACGATGAATCCAGAATATAGGTCGACTTTGACTGGACTCGAGCGCAGTCTTTGATCTTAATTCCTTGCTTTGTGGTTTAGTACACGCATATTCATTATATTCATTATAATAGCGCTCGAAGCCCTACTGACGATTCTTTGATATCAAATGCCAAGATCACAGTTGCTGGCCTGAGGCGCCAACGTCATTTTTGAAAGGTCACGTGCCACTGTTTATGCGTGCGTCATCGACGCTGTTTTCTTTATTTCTTGGTCTGCTCACCTCTTCGTCTGGTAAACCCACTGCAAAGCAAAAAAAAGAAGTGACATATGTTTCTTGAGCTTCTTAACTACCCACATTTACATCTTCGAAGTCGTTAGCCACAAGGTCGGCTTTTCCTGCCCCGCCTGTTGCCCTGGCTACGAACTGAACGAATAATCTGGCGTAATTAACGGCCCAACACAAAAACAACACCTCTCCTACCCCAGTAAAAATTCGAAAAAGGGAGCGATCGCTGGAAGCTCACTTGCATATTGCAATCTCGCCTAGCTACGCACCGTGCTGCAAGTTTGGTATCCATCTTACGAAAGGCCCCTACGCCATCTCGGTCGGCGTCTTCTAATCAGGCCGCAACGTCGCACATTGCACGCCACACGAAATGGCGGATGAACTGGAATATCTCCATCCAGATTTCGATCTGAACTCTCTCACCGTGCCTCGTCTCCGCTCGATCCTTGTCAACCACGATGTTCCCTACCCTGCCTCTGCAAAGAAGGCTCAACTGATCGGCATCCTCGAAGATGAAGTTCTTCCGCAAGCCAGAAAACTCTTGCGTGACCGCGACAGGGTTCGACGGACCAGTGCAGGTATTACAGATATGGGCAGTCGGTCTACATCGGTGGCAAGCGACGTGAACGACAGAGAGTCGATGCCTCCTCCACCCACACCCTCAACAGTCGGATCCACAAGCAGAAGCATGCGAGGCACATCGCGTCGCAGCACCCGTCACTCAACGGTAGATACAGATGATGGTCTGGAACCTGCCACACCTATAAGGAACACAAAACGCACGAGCGTCGCTCGCTCGGTGGGTAAACACGCTCGCACATCTGACACGGAAACCGGCGACGACACACTCGCGACTCCAATCGCTGCTACCCGTCCTACGCCTCGCAAGTCTACAGCTAGAAAAATCGGACGGAGCGAGATCCTCCCTTCGACAGAACTGGATGAACACACTCGTATTAAGTCAGAACCACGCAACGAGAGCATGTTTACGGATGATAATCCCTTTCAAAGTGGAAGCCCTGAGGCCCCTAAAAGCGCAAGGATGAGTTATGATGGCAAGCGGAAGAGCGTTTCGCGCTTATCTACAGACAGTCCAGCTCGGGGTCGCGGACTCAGGTCGCGGAAATCAGCAACCCCGTCCAACGTTCAGCAAGACGATGGCTTCCAGCCACCGAAGCGGGATTCGTTTGATTTCGCCTCCCGGCTGATGCCTCCACAGGAGGAACCTGAGGAGGAATCGGATGAATCCGAGGATGATGAAGGGAGCGAAATTGGCGCAGGTGAAGAATTCACACCTGAGGAACAGCTCGCTATGTCTATGGAGGATGACCAGTACTCGCCACAAATTCAGGCTAGACGACGGCCCCAAAAGCAAAGCACTCTCAGCCGCTTGGCACCTTGGGTAGTCATCCTGTCACTGGTCGGTAGTTTTGGTACCTGGTGGCGCAAAGAAAAACTCGAGATTGGATATTGCGGCCTAGGAAAGCCCACCTGGTCTTTGGCAGACACTAAAGTTCCTGAATGGGCGAATGTGCTGGAGCCCCGGTGCGAGCCGTGCCCAAGCCACGCCTTCTGCTACCCAGACTTTGTAGTCCGCTGCGAAAATGATTTCCTGTTGAAGCCGCATCCTCTCGCCCTCGGAGGCCTAGTGCCGTTGCCGCCAACATGTGAACCTGATAGTGAAAAGGAACGCCGCGTGAAGGCCGTTGCTGATAAAGCTGTTGAGGAGCTTCGTGAGCGCCGGGCAAAGTGGGAATGCGGTCAGCTAAAGGAAGACGGGAAGGGCGCCAGATCTCCAGACATCAGCGAGCCAGAGTTGAGGGAAGAGGTGGCTAAGAAACGCCGCAAGGGCATGAGTGACACGGAATTTGATGAGCTGTGGAAGGGCGCCATTGGGGAGATCCTTGAAAAAGATGAAGTTATTAGCAAGACCAAGCAGTAAGTTTCCTTTGCCCTAGGATGGATTCTCGTGTCTCCTTGGCTATGCTCGAGGCTCTGGATTTCGACATCCAGCCGCATTTCTTATAAAGATCTGGTCTGACCTTGTGTACCGGAACTGACAGAGGCGCGTTCGCAATCACAGAAATTCCGCCATCCTCATCCTCTCCTCCACCTCCATTGCACGGCTCCCACTCGCATGCGCCGTCCGCCGCTACTTCCGACTCACTCTCCTCGCGTATCGACTCCCTATTTCACTTTTAATCATGACCATCGGTCTTCTTGTGTACGCTCGTGCGCGTGTCCTCGCACGTCGGTCTGACATTGCTCGCGTGCCCGAATTGGTAGCTACAACCCTCGACCGACTATCCACGCAGGCTGCACTATACGCCCGCGGTGATGCCAAAGAACCTCATATTGCCATCGGGCAGCTCCGCGATGACGTTCTCCGCTTTGAACTCCAGGGCAAGCGTCGCGAGGAGCTCTGGCGACGGGTCCGCAGCTTTGTCGAAGGCAACGCCAACGTCCGCGCTTCTGTGCGTGAAGGACGTAGCGGTGATGTTTCTCGGGTCTGGGAGTGGATCGGTGGGATTAACGCTGTCGGCGAGCCGGAACATATTGGCCGCCGTGAGAGTGCACGATTCTCCGTCCCTTCTCCATCCGGTAATATTGTGACAAGCCCTCAGACGCCTGCGAGTGAAAGCCAGCCCGAGCCTATTTCTAGCCCAAGAGAGTCTCGCCGCTGGGACGAGAGCCGTCCGATCTATTGATTCTTGTCCTGATGTCTAGAGGATGATTTGGACACGCAGCTCCACTGTGCTATTCTTTTTGATATCCCACCGTTTTTTCTTTTCTCATATGAGATATGGCTTTTGTTTCCCGGGTTTTCTTGTCCTGATTACAAATTTTATTCCCAACTTCCTTCACCTGCTTTATCAGAACATATTCTTTTCCTGTCCATACGAATTTCATTATCAATTCCAATCAGAACTTTAATTTTCTCAGAGACAGTCTTCGTCCTAGCGCTATTGCATGATATTAAAACAACGGCTGCAATTCCTACGGATTTGGCGGTGTTAGCGTCAAGTCGAACCCTCCATTGCATATCAGCAGCACAACTATATAACTGCTATCACACCGATGAAACCCAAGGGCGTAATCTAGGGAAACCTACAGAGTACATATTCCTACCAATGAGTATAGTACTCCGTATCATTAAAAGACCTATGTATCAGCTGTTCCAGCCCAACCGCGAACAATAAGACCCACATTATATTGCTATACTATACTACCCCCATGCGGGGGGTCGACGGACACCACGGCCTAACGGAAACTCTTGCTTAGTGTCAATCTTAAAGATAGATCTATATGTAGGCGGACGTGGGTTTCTTTTCCGTGTTCGCGCATTAAATTACTCAAATTAGCGCGATCTTCTTCTAATTTTATGCTTAGTAGAGAGTAATTTATAAATTACTCTGAATCATAGTTTACTTACAATACCATCTTCTGTATCTGGGGTTTTTTTAGACGTGTTCATGGGTAGAAGAATGGAGGGGTACAAGATTGACATCTAGAATTTCCGTTAGGCCGGTAACCTGCAGGGGTTGGGGTTGGCAACCTTGGAAGGACCGGGTAGTGTTCATGTACAATGTCGATCAGTTAACAAGCCAAGTGAACAGAACAGAACAGGCCCTGGTATGTAAACTCGTTCTATGGGGTATCGTGTGACCAGTACGAATGAGTGCCTAGACGCACTCTACGGCGTATGCAGATAAGAATATTTAATGTACTATTTTACCCTTGGCATTCTTATGACCCAGCCAGGCACATCTATAGTTAGCCCCCCATGTGCATGTTCGACGTGAATCTGGATTTCGGTAAAAAGGGTAAAGCGTGTTCGCTCTCGCTCTTGACCGTCTCCATCCTTGATGCCCAACGTATCGAGCTGATCAATCAATATCCCTGCTAGTTTGGTATTTGCTGGCGTCAACGTTCTGCGTCAGTTCTGCGTTAACGTCCTGACCCAGATTGAGTGAGGGGAAATTGGATCGTGTGTGGGGTTTGTGTTGAGAATGTTCTGTGCTTTCATTCGTTTTTGGGTCTATAAGAGTGCTGGTATTGGTAGAAAGTAGGGCCATCAAGGCGGGGTCGTTTGGCCTCAGCATCCAATGAGATGCAGGAGTGACGTTCGAGGCTATTGCAAGCCGCGCGAGTCGCGTATATCAAAAGTGCCGGAATTTGGAATAGGACCAGGGAAACCAATCTAGGGGAGTTGATATATTAGCTGCTTCGCTTACTAGTGGCTACTACCGCAGGACTTCAAAGGATTCATCTGCAGGTGGCTGATACTCGCTTCAAACATCGCTTGGCAGATAGCTATTGCATTGCAGCAAACACCAGGTAATCAGGAAGAGAGGAGCTAGTGATACGTGCATGCATAGGTGGTACTGTAAAAGGAGTTCCTTCCTACCCGCCCAGCCAACCAGCTCTCATGTTTGCTCGGGAGAAAAGGGTTCTGTACAGTAGTGAGACGAGGGATGCCTTTTGTGTGCCTGGTGTACACACTACCGTTTGGAAGAGAATATAGCCCTACATAAGAGGACTCTTGTGGCGAATAATCCCAGGGTTGACCGCTTCTTGAGGGTCATCCAAGGGAAGCATCCTATCAAGAAGGGCTGGGGGTAATGAGGTGGATACGGGCATTATCCGTACGGAGAACACCTTGCTCCGTTGTCTTGAATTTTCCTTTTTTTTTTCCTTTTTCACGAAATTGCGATTTCATCTCGGGCCCCGCTCTCCTTTAAAACCGAGATACAGTAACTATAGTAAGTACGTATGGTGTGGACGACTGCTTCCTCCAGGGCAACTCGGGAAGCTCGGGAGGCTTTATTCTTTATATGGCCGTAGGTAATATGGAGTAAGCAGGATTACATATAGCATATTCGAATGGTTTGGACTTGTACCGGATAGGGGCCACGTAGCGTTGTGGCAAGATGGATGAACGGACATAAGAACTGTGCGTATAAGCACAGGGCTCGGATAGTGGAGATATTGGTTAATAGAGGATGGAGAATAGTATGTAACTATGTATTGATATGGGGTAAGATTTCAGATATTGCGGATATGCGGCTAGCAGACGGAGTAGTTCCGGTGTTCACCTCGCTTAAGTTATATTGAGTAAGCCCCCCGAGTATATGCGAGATTGGATGGCTAGGGATAAGGATTGCGATGGTTTAGCTTGCCGACGCAGACTCTTCACTCAGTATGTGAGCCATGGTTGAATTTGGCAAAAGCAAGAGTTGCGAATGCCTTCTTCTTAGAAGCTTTCAAGGTTTTTCTTCGGTAAAAGCAAACGAATCATGTCTGGTACGGAAGTATTCTCCCCGGGGAATTATCGGATGTGAAGGGAACAGCCATGCCTAGGTCTACGGGGGACGGATTTTGGTTTCATTTTGTCTTTTACCTTTTTTTCTCCAAAAAAAAAAAAACCAAAAAAAAGAACAAAAGATGTTAAAGTTCAAAGACCACGTCGTAGTGAAAATCGATGTGAAGTCTACATAGTCAGGAACAAGATGATGATATCGAAATCGCCCCTCCCCATGATGAACCATGGGACTCGTTGGTTCCAGACAAGATTGTGGACCTGTCAAACTTATACCAGAAGGCTATGCATGGTCCGTATTGGACTTGCCTTGTCCCATTTCATTTTGATATATCCACAGGTTTTAACATCCATGGATATAGATACAGCATACAATCGGCAGGGTACGATTTACCGTGCATATACTCCATATTTGGGACAAATTTGAACCATGTGAATGGGATAAGCAAGGGACATGTAACTACATAACTAGAATCTGCTAATATAAGTGCCGTAGGAGCCTCCCAGAGCCCAGAGCCCAGAGCCCAGAGCACGGAGACCAGAGCACAGAGCCCCGTCGTGAATACCCCACATATATATAGTGTTATTCGTTTCGTCAGCCGAGGGTCCAATATCGAGCTACTTTGTATCGAGGGTGATCCCGAAAGATGTTCCCGTTCTCGTTGATTGATAGTCTACCTAGGCCGACGAGGTAATTCCGGAATGGGATAACAAGGAGGACAGAAAGCTAGAAATCAAGTGACTTTCCAGAGTAAAAGATCACTGGTTCAGCAACTCGTCTGTCTTTGGTTCACATGTGGCAAAACACCCGTGGTGGAGGGGTTGACAACGTTTCGCTTGGTGGGGTTTACACATCGTCTACTGCATACAGTATGTAACTAACGTACGTGGGCCCGTGTTGGGTGGAATTTCTCGTCGAATGGGAATGTTTCAAGAGATTTAGTATCTGCATCCCCCGTATGGATATGTATACACACTAGATCGGCGTGCAGAGGAGACTGGGGCATTTCTCGGAGCCTTGCGCATGACACTGCACATGAGCATAATTAGATTAGTGAGAGAAAGAGAATTTCTGGTAAAAGAAAACCAGCATCAGACTCTAGATCTTCCGATCGACAAAGTAAACCGAGAAGGTCAGGGATCGACTGAACGGCATAGACCCGCTTTTTCCAATCGACATAGAAAGGGGAACCTGGGAAAAGACGAGTAGAGGAACCGAACGGATGTCACGTTAATAATAACGTTGTTACAGAAACTCACCTGGGTGATAGGGTCATGATTTCATATTGGGAGAGTCGGGTTGGTTGAGCCTATCATTTACCCCGGAAAATAACTCCGGGGTCGAGAAATTAGGGTTATGGATAGGAGCAGTCGGATATAAGCATATGAAGGAACTCAACGTAAAAGATATTGTCAGAAAGGGTACAAGGTGCATTGTATAATATCCACGTTGTATAGACACGATATACGGACTCATTCGTCTGTTGTTTCGTACTTCGTACCTGGCTAATAACTCCGGTAATTAGCTTCATTCTCACCATTGACAGCGAGTAGAAACGGTACTGAGCTGTTGGTATAATTTGTATTTGACTCTTGACCTTTGATATCCTTCGATCAACCAGTATTTTCTTCCTTGGAGGCTCTCCAGCTCCCATCACTTGCTTATTGTCTGGATATGCCTGGAGGCCCACATCCGCCACCGTCGAATCTCTCCCTTTTCCCTGTTTTTTTTTCGTGATTTTTTTCTAATTTTGCGCATTTCTGGACCTGTTTACCTGTTATTTACATGTTATTTTCCGAATTTCCTATTATTTCCCATTTTTCCCTCCTTAATATCTCCCATTTCCCCCCCACTTCGCTCTCATCTAGGCACCGCACAGTGCAGAATTCAACTGCATAGGTCTAGCGCGGCCCCAGGGCCCCTCCTCTCTTTCTCCATTCTATAACTCTCTCTATGATCTGTCCGTTTTCCCCACGTGATTTGCTCGATTATCATGCTTTGAAATGAGTGGTTGGAAGACAGAGAGTTGGGCTTTTGATTTGCTATTTCTCCCTTTGCTTTTGTTTGCGGGCAGACTTGATGAATGAACAGACACTCCGAGGCTATAGGCCTCTTGCGCCTCGCACCAGGCTACTCGGTGGATCCGGAGGGGACGGCGGAGAGGGAGGGAGTCCTTCTGGCGGGGGTGCACCAGAAGAGAAACGCATGAGACGAGCCTCGACGGCTTGTACAGAGTGCCAGAAGCGCCGAACTAGGGTACACATCTCACTGCGCTTCCTATTTTCCCTATCTCTCCCCTTGCTCGCACCTAATCAGTACTCCAAATCAATCTGACATGTTCTTGTTGCTATTTTTGTTAGTGTACCGGTCCTCCCAATTGCACCGAATGCTCAACCCACGCCCGCGAATGTGTCTTCGATGAAGCCGCCGACAGGCGTCGCAAGGCCTCCGCCAAGCGAATTCAGGATCAATTGGACCATTTCCGGTCATTCGTGGACGATCTCATCGGGCTCATCCGCGATAGTGACGGTCCGTCGGTACAATTAATCGTCAATACCATACGATCGGGTGCAACCCCTGGAGAGATCCGAGATATCCTCACCCGTCTGTTGGACGACGATAACCAATCCGATTCCCGAAATTCAGGCATGCGCGACTCGGACGTGAACCTGAACTTTACCAACAATCACATGGGCAATTACTTCCACCCGCCACGCTGAATTACCCTAATCTTCTCCTCCGGCAACATACGAACCTTTCCAATATGCGCCAGACTTATCGCCGCCTCCTCCCCGAATTCTTTACGCCAAATCTTCTCGATCCCAAATCCTCAAACGACCAAACGAACCTGGTTGTTTCATAGCGTTTCCTTCATAGCTGTTGTTCGTATCGGGTTTGAGATGGAGCAGGTCATTCAAAAAACTGTCACATTCATAATTCAGGCTGTGTGACCAGCTCCATCTCATGGTTGCTATATCTCGAGACAGATTGAGATCTCGCAAAAAAAAAAAACCAGACTGTTCCTGTTCTCTCACCCGAGCCCTAGCATTACATTTTTCTTTTTGTTGCAAATATTCTTTGCGCATCCCAGAATCAGGGGCTTTAGAAGCTTGCAAGATTGCGGAGGGTCTTTTGACAGAAGTGAATATACCCAGAGATACCCAGTTCTAGCTTGTCACGTTCGGACTTTGTTGTTGGAGTTACACGTCGGGGTGTTATGGGGTTCGGAGCAAGTGTGATTTTCCTTTTTATATTGAGCCCCTGGCGGATATTCTTCCAACAGCAACCATACTGCAATGAATATCTTTCCTAGCCTAGGGCTTTATCCGCGTTTCTTTGAGAGATGTGACCCAAGTTCATTTTGGTCACTGAAATCATATTATGTACCCCTCCCCTTTGGGTTTGCGCACCAGTTGTCCTCTCGCGCAGATCGAGGCTGCTCTCTGTTCATGTTAGCAAATTGCACTCCAAGATGATATTGGATTCCCGTAATCACACTTGGAGGGTCCATGGGTGATATGGGCAGCTGATCACACTATTATATTGTTGAACATGTTCTGAAGACTCCTATCAACCCCACGGACATGATGCCAGTCTTCTCCAACCAGCGGACATGGTACATGAACCCTACGGTAAAACTGCTTACCAAGGGCTCATATAGAAGTATTACTCTAACTTAGCTACAGGGAGCAGAGCACCCACTTCGTAAGACGATATCTATACGATTTTGACAAGTGAACAGCCCCTTACCTGAAAGCCCGATCAGATATGATCTTCCTTAATCTTTCTTAATAACCGTACCTCACGTAGATTAACCCATATCCACACCTATACTTCAAATGCCTCATAGGTACATAGTAAAAATCCGGGGAGGTGGAGGCATCCCCGCGCCGACCGGAGACTTGCCGAGATCCTGTGCTTTTCCCAAACTCCCAATTTTCCCCTCTCCGGATATTTCTCCTTTCTCACTACCTCGAAGTCATCTCCATCTGACATTCCTCGGGACTTAATTCCCTGGCTCGGCCTGTGCCGATCTCGATATGGAAACCACTAGCGTTGCCTTGCACGAATCTCCCCGGCCCGCAGTCAAACCCAATGAAATAACTTCAACATTGCCCGCGTCTAAGAGGAAAGCATCTGACACATTAAAGGATGGTGTTGCACAGCGCCAGAAAATCACCAGAGCCTGTGACTGGTGCAAAGTAAAGAAAACCCGATGTACTGGTACTCTGCCATGCACAAGATGTACACGACTGTCAATGGAATGCAAATACAACGCCGCATATTCTCGGGGACTACCACCAGACCCTCTTCCTGTGTCACCGGGTCCAATTTCGACTCCCACTAGAAATCCGGCATTTGAAGCTGTGGATGGGCGCATATCCAGCTTCAATTTACAGGGCACTGGCCGGGACCCGGCTTTGACCAACAATCTACTTTCAAACCAAAGCCAAAGCCAGCGCCAGCATGTGATCTCACCGCGGCATTCACCAGAACCAGGTTCAACGGATTTTGAGGGTAATTACCTCGGTCCTTCATCCGGTGTGTCGTTCTTAAATCGCGTATGGAGCCGTCTGCATCAAGATGAAACCGCGAACTTCCCAGATAAACTCCAAATTGAGTCCTCGCGGAATACAGCCGTCTTTATGTTTGGTGATAAGCCTTACTCCAACCCTCAAGACGCGGAATTTACCCTCCCGACTCTGGAAAAGGCCCTGGAGTTGGTGGGAATATACTTCGATTACTCTATGGTGACTTATCGATTCGTGCATAGAGGTAATGTAGAAGAATGGACTAGACAGGTTTATCAAAATAACATCGGCCTCTCGAATCTGCCGGTGGGAAATATGGTTGCTCGGACTGCTATCGTTCTGATGATCATTGCTGTGAGTACTTTGTACATGGAAATGAGGCCCGGGGAAATGCCTGGGGGGCCAGGTGAAAGATTAGAAAGGTCAGTAATCTCTTGATATCAGAAAAGGAGCCCAGCTGAGAAATTGCAGTGAGCGCTGGTACGCAGCATCGAAATATATGTCTTCTCTCGAGTCAGGGCCGCCGCGACTGGAAACCATCCAGGCCCGGCTAGGCCAATGCCTATACCTGCTGTCATCGTCACGGGCTAACGAATGCTGGTACTCATTCGGAACGACAATGCAGATTGTGACTGCACTCGGATTACACAGGAGGGGGCCAGCCAAAGTCTCGAATAACGGGTGCTCGTATCTAGAATTGGAGCTTCGCAAGCGCATCTTCTGGAGTGTATACACTCTAGATAAATATCTAAGCATTATGTTCGGAAGGCCTCGACTGCTCCACGATGAGGACATCGACCAAGAACTACCGAACGAGACGAACGACATAGACTTACTGGAAGAAGACCCAACGCGAAGAACAGGATCTACGGACAGCATGATGATTGCCTCTGTTCTTCATTACCGGTGAGTCCCTCACCTAGCCTGTACGTATACCTGAGCACTAACATCGAACACAGACTTGGTCGTATCCTGGGCGACATATCTCGCCAACTATACAGCATAAACACCCTCTCTCGCGACTCCCCACTCGAGACAGCAATCCGCCTAACCTCAGAACTCGAAAAATGGAAAGAAACAGTCCCACCATTGTTCAACAGCGTCCACCCGACCAGTTTAATTCCACCCCTCTGCCGCCAAAGCCAAGTCCTCCAACTCGCCTACTCGCACGCCATGATCCACGTCACCCGCTCATTTCTCTTAAACGATTTCACAGACCTCAGCCGCAGACCGAAAGTCCCGCACCCGATGGTCAGCTCGCACGTCCATAAATGCATCCAGGCTGCCGAGGACATCATGACAATAGTCGATGGTCTTGCGCACCAGGGTGTACTGATCCAGTCCTTCTGGTTCACACACTACGTGTGTTTCTGTGCTGTTCTGGTCATTTACATCCATACCATCCAACAGCACCGTAAGTCAATGGGCGGATCTAGCTCAGCCTCTGTCTCTTCGGTCGGAAGTCCCCGTGACCCAGATAAATTACGCCAGCTCTTTTCTCTCGCTGAATCTTGTCAGCAACATCTTGCCGAGGCCACGCGCAAGAACTGTCCGAGCCGTCGCTACGGGATTATCCTGGAGGAGTTGAGACAGGAGGTTCATCGGCAGATATCTAATGGGCTCTCGGTTGAAACTCAGGCTCATTCTGGTGCAAATGTTACTCTCTATGTTTCGGGAGAGGGTTCACAAACTACGGATGTAAAATCGGTACTCTTTGATACTCAGGGGGTTGATTTCATGATGCAACCACCCGATTTGGGAACGAATCCGGGTGATGATGCAGGCTTCCTTGAGAGCCTTGAGGGATCAATCTGGTGGGCTCAACTTGACTCATGGGTATGTATTATGCTTTTCTTGACGATACGAGTACGGAATATCACTCGCCTATACACATCTTGTTTAACTTTGTTCTAGGCCTTGTCCAATCTCCCTAATGATCCCTCGACATTTAGCTTTTAAGCACTGGATCTTACGAGTCACAAAGCAAAATCGCGTTCAATTTCAGATATCCTGCTACAGTTCGTATCACATTCTGGACATTATTCCGTCAATACGCTATCCGGTGTGGCGCTCAATACTGCATGAGACCACCGCGGTGAATGTTCTCCAAGTAGTCATCGAATTTCGCCGACACCTCAATCACATTCTTGAGGTGATCATACGTGAGAACTTCCCTTTTCCACTTCGCGTACTGACGAGCAGTGGTGACGGCATTCCGAATTTGCCGACCATTCAACTTCTCTTTCTGAAGCACATCCAAGCTCCCCATAAGATTTTCAACGTCAACGGCATCGTTATCGAACTCATCAAGGCGCTTGATGAAAGTATTCCAAATGATCCGTCTCTGCTCCTCATCCAGGGGGGGATAGTGCAGTGCCAGCTGGATGCGCGACTTGAATGCCTCGTCAAAGGTACCTACCCGGTTGGTGGTCAAGATCAGGATTCCATCGAAATACTCCACCACGCGCAGGAATGCCGACACGAGCGCATTCCGGTTCAGATCTTCCAGACCGCGTTGCTCGAGAAACACGTCTGCTTCATCGAGCAAGACTACGCAGTTCCAGGTCTTGCCCAGGTGTAGCACGGACTCGAGGTACTTCTCCACCTCCTCTGGCTTGATGCCGACATCGCCGCATGTGACTCGATACAGAGGCCGCTCGGCTATTTCGGCCACACTCTCCGCAGTCAGGGTTTTGCCTGTACCTGGGCCACCGTGCAGAAGCAAAATAAGCCCGTTTCCTTTTCCAGCGATCAGATCGGCGGAGTATTCAGGCTCGACGTGGTTGGTCACCAATGCTTCGATAAGGTCTCTCGATTTGGAATCGATGGCTAGACTCTCGAAAGCGTTTTTATTCCACTCGACAGGTGAGATGCGGTCGACTGAGAGCTCGAACCATTTCTTGCGCCGGAGGTTGAAGCCAGTCATCCTCGGAGGCATCATCATGCTGAACGGCTCTTGCGGGGGTTGCTCCCTGGCCATGACTCGGTCATCAAGTGTCTTTCTAGGTGAGCTGTTATTCAAATACCCGGTCGAGGCTGGGTGCAGTCTGTTGTATGTCTTCATATCTATGATATATCGGTCATCGGTCTAGTAGCAATATTTAGCTCGGCTCATTATTGCAGGTTAAACAATAAACACATACCATGGTCTGGAAGTTCTCTTCCTCGGTCGCCTGATATGACACGTACTTCTGCGTGCGGAATGTCCAGAAGATCTCCCCACGGCGCTGAAGCTTCCGGACGATATAATCAGGCGCATACCTGATTGGGAATACCGCAAGATCCGTGATAGCACACTCTTTTTCTGAGTCACTGTGGTGTAGTGGAAGGCTATAATCACGCAACGAATCACCCACTTCAGGCGACGATGGCATCTGCGTGGCGTGCTGTGGCTTTGGGATTTCAAAACTGAGCTTAGTCCGAGTTTTATAGAAGTCGCCATCGAAGTCCCAGGTCTGGACACTGATCCACCAACAAGGATTGCTGCCATGGATGTCTGGGCTTCTAGAGGGCCATCCATTGGCTACATAACCTATGTGCTCCTTGTTTTTGTCCGAAACCAGGACTTCATTGGGCTTGAATAGATATTGAACGTACTCCGGGCGGATTTTGCCCTTCTTCAAAAGCAAATCCACTGCAGTGTATTCATTGCCGTAAGCCTCTTGGACATAGTCTATGAAGAGGTCAAATTGTCTCTGTGCCTCAGAGCTCAGCCCTCGTTTGATTTCCGATTGTCCAGTACCCCGGTTATGGTAGACGAAGAGATAAGGCGACCTGACCTCACCCGTGTGGTGGTAGTCGTTGTACATGGCTCGAAACTCTTCGCCCCCGAGGAAGTCTGCGATCACGTCTTTGAGACCTTCGGAAACTGGAAGAATGGTCTCGCTGAATGGCTCTGGCTTGCCGTACTTTGTGTTGGGTGACTGCGGCTCGGCTCTTCTTTTGTAGTTGCGGAAGACAACAAAAGATATCTCTCTATTGAGCGCGAGGTAAAGCTCGAAATTGACCAGAGGGTCATTGCAGCGCAGATATGGCGCACCCATGTTTCGGTGGATGAGTTCAGGAGGATCGGTATAAATCCCCATCCATGGAGACGCGGGTGTAGACCCGCGCGGCCTGTGTCTGGGGCTGAATTCATCGTCACTATCGTCCATGCTCTGATTGTCACTCGGATAGGTGCCGTCTTTCTCTATCCGATAAAGGATCTGATACTTTGAGGCTGTGGGCAGGGCAGGCTTTCCTTCCAGCTCTCGGACTTTGTTTCGAAGCGCTTCGATTTGAGCCTTGAGGTCATTCGCCTCTGACAGAGAGACGCTTCCTTGGCTGGGAGGAGTATATGTCTCTGAGCGAACGGTGTTTGAGTACTGCGGGTTCGTATCATACGAATTCACAGACTGTGGACTCAGAATCTGTTGCCTTGCAGGAGGGTAAAGGGCGTTGGTATGGTGAACCGGGACTTGAGGGTATTGATAAGGCATAGGACCCGGGGGAAAATGGCCTTGCATTTTTTGATTGTTGACTACCTGCCCGAAAGGATGGACAGGATTATTATGCTCGACTGGCCAATGGCGGAACGTAGTCGCGTTGTTTCGTCGTGCGACGTTCTCCCGTTCTAACAGCATCAGTTTGAATGAGTAATCTTGGTTGTTTTTATTTTCTTGCATCGTTCTGGGATTCGGAATATAAGATGTACCATCAAGGAAAGGAGGAGCTCTTCCTCCGAGGGAAGCATGGACCGATTGCTCTTGTGAGGCGTCTTTACCGGTCAAATCTTGGGAGATGGTGCTTTCCATGTACAGCTCATCAAGAGGCCGAGCTAGAAATGATTGAGAGTACATTGCCCAGAGATGACAAGGATCGTTTCAGGACAAATCAAATGGACTGTTTCACTGTCCAGAGGGAGTGGGAAACAGACAATAAATAGGTGAAATTGGGGGGATACGAGGAGATTTTGATCCCAACCGCCCCGCGTCTTGAGCCTCTGGACTGTCATGTGCTGTGGCTGTGTATATGTGCATATTCTTGTTGTTGGGCTGGTAGATTTTCATGTACAGGTACCTAACTCTTGAATGTTAGTGTCTCGCATATCTCCATGTTTGTTTCATCAAGACGTTGGGTGGCGCTTACCCTCTTTCGTAGTTGCCAGCCCTAATAACATGGGTACCTACTACAGACACCGGAGCTTTATGCTTCACATTCCATGCTTGATGCTTCATACATCTGATTCAATATATTGTTAAAGCCTACGCATGTTTCATTCAACGCTCATTGGCTCTGGAAGGCAAACATGACAGCCTCCAGTGAGAAAGATCCAACCCGACGAAGTCTTTTCAATCTCTTGATCCCAACTAAAGTTGTCGTCTCTGGAAAGCCAGATACATCTCCAACCGATTCTGCGGCAACGGAAAGCCCAGTATCGGAGCCAATTATCCCAAGGGGGGGGAAAGATCGGCTAAGGGCTCGTTTGACTCGCAGTGGCTCCAAGATTCTACTGTTGCTAGGCTTACGTGGTTCATCCCAAAGTGAGTGATGGTGTCTTTCTTGTTATAGCAGACCATTCACTGACTCTCCGCAGGCAACAAAGGGTCTAGCGTCGACATTGATTGCTGTGATTCGGTGCAGGCCGACGAAAGCACAGGTCTCTCGAACCCATCCTCCCCATGTGGTAATGGCGATAATCGCCCGGCATATCTGACTGCAGCTGAGTCTGTACAAAGTGAACTATTACCTGCCACTCTTTTGCGCAGCACCCCCACCCAGGGGGTGGAAACTTTGTCTGAGCCACTTCCCGACCTACGGCCACCCGAGAGTCAGGGTGAGTCGGCTGTTGTCGACGACGTGCAGCAACATAGCTCAAGTGGGGAACCCCTGTCAACTAGTGTCACTGAACAGCCGAGTCCAACAAATTCTAAATTCGTCGATCGCTTCTCGCACAAGATCTCGCTAGCGTTTGGTCAGCCCACTGTCATCCGCCGTGTGCATCTTCGGTCACGACCGAGTGTTCTTCCCGCCAATTCTCCGGTATTAGACGGTCTCTGTAAGCAGAGTGATGGCGCTAATGATAGCTCCAGCCCATCAACCAGCCCCAGTAGTGGTGGGTCTCCTGCCGGCGGGCAGTCAACTTCACTGACTCCGCTCACGTCCGTGGGGCCGTCTCCTTCCTCGGATAAAGGCAAGCTGCCCGACGGACACGAAACTGCAGTGATACATTGGCCCTCTCTTACCGAGATCAATGAAGCTTCCAATGCTTCAGACAAAAATGTAATCACAATATCGCCGTCGATCAAAACTGTGGAAGCGACATCAGTGGCAAAAGTTTACTTGGAACTATACTTCAACTCCATTTTTCAAAACAAAGATCCCCGTCAGCAACGTCAGCTCGAGTTGGAGCAGCATATCTATGCGTTTGAGCTCACACCCGAGGAACGGCTGATGACAAGACACAACTGGGTCTTACGAGAGAACGATTATCTTCGACAATGCCGTGTGCTCAAATCAAACCGATACTGCACTCAAACCGAAGACGCCATCTCCATCGCAGGTTACAAAGCTATAAAGGTATTGGGGAAAGGAAGCTTTGGTGTTGTGCGTCTTGTTCGACGGAATAGCTGTGATTCAAGGAGTTCCCAGGAAGATGACCCTCTTACTCTCAAAGACAACAATGTCCACGCTAGATCAAATCCTTTTGGAGCTCTGATGTCTGCCATGGAAGGTGCCAGACAAACCCGTCGAAGGTACATGACCGGCGAAAAGAAGGAGGTATATGCCATGAAAGTCATCAAAAAGGCCGAGATGATCCGCAACTCCCAGGAAGGCCATATTCGCGCGGAAAGAGACTTCCTTGTTGCATCTGAGAACTCTCGCTGGGTTGTTCCTTTAATCGCTAGCTTTCAAAATGCCACCAATCTATATCTTGTGATGGATTACATGGTGGGTGGAGACTTTTTGGGGCTACTGATCCGCAAAGATACACTCCGCGAGGACTGGACACGATTTTATATCGCGGAGATGATATTGTGCATTGAGGAGGCACATCGACTTTGCTGGATTCATCGCGATGTCAAGCCTGATAACTTTCTCATCTCTGCGTCCGGCCATTTGAAAATTTCCGACTTTGGTCTCGCTTTCAATGGGCATTGGTCGCATGACCAAGCTTATTATAACAGCCATCGCTACTCTTTGCTGGAGAAGCTTGGCATCGATGTCAAGGGTGATTCCGAGGACCAAGAGGCGTCTGCTGAAGCGAAAGAACTCGCTCCTGATATAAAGTTGCACATTGTGGATGACCATGCTCTTCATCAGCCATCCTCAGCAAGTCTGTTGGATTGGAGAAACAACAATGGGCGACGCAGATTCGCAAGAAGTGTTGTTGGAACTAGTCAATACATGGCACCCGAGCTCATTCGCGGTGAAATGTATGATGGACGATGCGATTGGTGGAGCTTGGGTATTATTCTATACGAGGTAGGTCTCTCGATATTCTCTTTTTGTGTGTATGAAAGTCTCATAGCTCTCCCAGTGTCTATATGGTTTCACACCCTTCGCTTGTGAAAATCGCCATGATACAAAGATCAAGATCCTTGTGAGTACCTTCTTTTCCCTTGCTCCAGTGAACATTTCATTCTAAGACTTCTCAGCAACACTCGAGAACTCTACGATTTCCGCGGGAGAAATTCACAGACAAGTTAGTCTCACAAGATGCCATGGATCTGATTATCAGGATACTCCAAGAGCGCGAATATCGCCTGTGCTCTCCAAAGTACCAAGCCAATGATATACTGAATGGACGTCCTGTCTCGACCCAATTGCTCTACTCCATGGACGCGCGGTACAGAAACATCGCGAGTTACTACGTATATCCCAACGATGCAGCAGACATCAAGATTCATCCATTCTTCCGAGGTATCCGATGGCAAGATCTCCACATGTGTCAACCACCAATGATCCCTAGGGTCAGGAACTGGGAGGACACTAGATATTTTGACGACTGGAAGTTGGCCAGCAATGGTGTCGAGGAAGCTGTTAATAGTGACTCAGAGGATCCAGACCAAGAACCTCACGCGATTACTCCCGAAAATCAAGAAATAAGACCAGCAGAGGACGCTATCGAGCCGCCAGCTGCTAAAACTACCCCAGGTGTAGCAAAGGAGGCAAAAGACACCGAGAAGAAAAAGGAGAAGAAACGGCCCCGCGATAAAATCCTCCGAGACAAACAGATAAGCAAGACGGTCTTGGACATTCGGAAAAAGGGCGCTTTTCTGGGGTACACATACCGACGACCGAACGATGTTGCGTTGGCCTTCAGCACAGAGCGAGGGCGTCAACCGTATGCCAGAGGCCAATTGGCCGACCTGTATGCATCATGACTATACAAGGCAAATACGTGGAATTGGGAGTTGAGGACCAAACATGTCGGCCATTGCATTCCCATTCACACGACCCACCACCGTCCTTTTACAGGGCCGAACATATCCATATAACCTTCTTTTCATCTTGTATAGCGCCTCATTCCCTCATAGGTGCCTGTTCGGAATTACAGGACTTCACTCTCCCTCTTATGTATCCTTAGGAATGAATATATAATTACGGAAAGATGTTAGCCTACTACACACTAGAAGTATTGTCATCAGAGTACATTCTATTTCCTATGATACTTCATGGTAGATAAATGAAGTAAAACACCCAAAAGAAAAAGAAAAAACGCTGGGAAATTCGTACACACAGCAAGGAGAAAGCGGCTATGTACGGTCTCAAATCACATCTGGTGGATAGAAAACCGGGGTATCGGAGAGTAAGTTCGGGACAGAGAGGCTTTCAAGGGGTATCAAGTTCAGAGTAGATGGAAATGAAGAGGGGAAATGAGTAAGGAAATAGACGCAGAAGAGGAAAAGCCAAAACGAACCGAGTTTACAGAACCGGCGCGCTCATGGAGAAAGCCGAATCCGTGACACGATCCTCGGGCTTCATAGTACCATTGAGCAATGGACAGAGTTTCTTGTTTGTTTTGATGTGCCCGACCTGGCCGCAGTTGGCACACTTGCGCTGAGTACCAGCAGGCTTGCCGTCCGGGTCACCGGAACGAGGGATGCCCTTTTGCTTCTCGCGGGCGAAACGACGCTCCTTGTTGCGGTTGAGACGGCCGAGCTCGGCCTCGATCAACTTCCGGTTACGGGCGTCGAGTTCTGTATCGCCCGTGGGTTCGAGAGATTCCAGCTTTATGTGCATGGCTTCGTGTTGGTGACGGTATTGGATATAGTGCCTGATCACTCGAGGATCGAAAACATGTTGTTCCTGATGAAGAATTTCGCCGTTTTCCTGTCTGATCTGGCGGGTGATACGCAGCACTTTGCCGCGCTGGCTGTTGAAACTCAGTTTGCTGAACTGACTTGTTGTCTCATCGTCGCGACGATATGGTCCAGGTGTCTGCGCTTCGGATCGAGGTGTTGGTTTGTTGAATTGATCCTGGTATTCGTCTTCTTGATCCACGTCGCTTTCCTGGTCGGAATGCTCGATGGTGGAGGACAGACTGCTTTTTTGAGCATCCCAAATCCGACGAATGGATGTTTCGTAAGATTTTTGCTGGCGGGCAACATTGTAGCTGTGACCTCCAAGCTCTTTAAGTCGCTGCGCGTCCAGCTTATCCTCAACACTTTCACCGATAGCCTTGAAACCACCCTTCATGCTTGTTTTGATGAAGTTATAACCCTCACCACGGCCAGTAGGATCTCCTTCGCCATGAAGTTTCAGCATCGCCTTGCCTTGAGAGGCCAATAAAAAGTTGCGAGTTGCCTTCCACGGAGCCATCTGCTGCTCGAAGCTCTCGAATTCTTCATCTTCTTCGTTATCGCCGCCGGTCTCGGCATCGTTGCCATAACCAGTGTCGTGGAGATGTTGCTGTCCAATCTGCATGGATTCCAGAAGACAAACATCTTCGGGCTGGACCCATGAGCGGATTGTGTCTTGGTCGGGGAGAATTGGATCCAGTGGCTTCCAATACTTAGTGTCCTTGTCGTGTTGAAGGAAATCCTTGACCTTCTGTCGGTTCTGCATATCCGTGGTGTTTGGTATGTGAGCTGTAACATCGCTGATTGCAAGTCGCTCATCCGGGCTCTTCTTCAACAAACGATATACCAGCATCTTCATGCGATTCTTGGCGACAGTTGTCACCTTGCGCGAATGAGGTCCAGGAATGTCTACAGATGGGAATTGCTGTCCGGCAACGTAGAAATTTTCGATGTTACGCAGGTAATAGCTAGAGCCATCGAATCCAGTGGTACTGCGGACCACGAGGAAGTCCGTAGATTTGGTCTGGTGCGGGAATAGCGGTGCTCGGTACATGGAGTTTGAAATTGCCGGGGAAATTTCGCCGGGGTCGACATGGCCAAAGATTGAGTAGGGGCTCTTGTCTTGAGGTAAGAGAACAACCGTTTCCCCGATATCTGCCCTTGGGCGAGTGGGATCATCAATATTCTTTCGCCGGTAATAATTGATGAAACGGTTGCACATTCCAAAGTTGGCTAGTGTCATGGGCAGCTCCTCGGAGTACTCCACTAGCAAGACATTGGAGTTGTCTGACATGGACAATGCCTTTGTGGAATTATAGATAGTTTTCGCATCTTTGCCACGTAAGTGCTTGCGTCGCACCTGGGTAGGGTTCTTGACCCAAGACGTTTGCCCAGGTCGGAAGGCCAAAGCAGGTCGGTGGAAAGATCTAGCTTCAGCCTTGGCCAACTCAGTCTTGTAGTAGGGCCATTGCAAACGCAGGGCTGGCAGACCGTGCTCAAGTGTCACATTGCCAAGAGTACTGCGGATCTTGTTCTGATGATTCTGTTTGAGCATGTCGTATGCTTGATCATTCGAAATGTTGTAGCGCTGGGTGAGACGGCGCGTCAGATTCAGGTCTACTTCATCCCTGGTGCGAGGAGCTGCGTGTTTCGGCTTGTTTGCGACGGCATCCGCTCTTAATTCGTCCACAAGAATGTTCGGATCATTGAGATCAATTGTCACTCGCTTTGCGATTTTCATTGTCGCTTGTTCTGGGTCATCCAATAGTGGAATATCGATATGTGATAGAGCAATGACATCCATCGGCGTCGGGCCGGTCTTTCGTTTCTTGTTCGGAACCTCGGTTTCCATCAGCCAATCCGCTTCATCCTCATCAAATGTATCATCTTTTCTTTGTGCCAATGGCTGCTCTTCCGGGTCAATGCTGGAGACGTCATCCTTAACATCCCAGTCCACACAAATCGTTCGAAGGTCCTGCATGGTGAAGCCACCCGGAAGTACCTCATCTCCATCCAGATCATCCAGGTCAATGTCTTCCTTCGTATCCTCATCCCCCTCTGCTCCCTCCTCTTCACGGTCCGATTGTGTAATCATCACCAAGCCATGAGTTTCATGATCGAGGCCACGCTTGAGGAGTTGCCCGGTTCTGAATGCACGCTCATGATCAGCTGCCAGCTCAATATTCACTTTGGTGGGCAAGACGGGCTTAGGAGGCTTGGCCGGCTGTTTTCCAATGAAGATAGCCTTCTTGTGGGGAATCAACTCGAGCCAACGTGGAAGAGTGTTCCGGTCGAACGAGGGAAACAAGGAATGCAAAAGCTCTTCGTGGTTCTCGGGTGGTGCAGGTGGGTTTTCAACCCCTGACATGGCGAACAACTGCTGCTGTAGTTTCCATGCGCGGAGTTCGACGGGATTCATGTCTTCCGACATGATACTGTCATCATCCGGGAATTCATCTTCCTCCATGATAGGTGGCTCTGGCTGCAATTCCGGGGCCGACGGGATGGGTGGTAGTTCAACGGGCGCATCTGTCAAGGGCATGTCTTCGTCTTCGAAGAGGCCGCGGGTAGGATCATCCTGTCCAGCAGGAGGCGGCGAAAAAGAACCTTCGCCAAAGAGATCATCGAGATTGTCATCCTGGGTCTGAGCCCCCTCTCCCGGGTCGCCGAAGAGATCGTCGCCGTTTCCGAAAAGAGCAGCATCGTCTGAGCCCAAGTTCGCGAAAGGATCTTGATTATCATCCACTGCAGGCAGGGCTGGAGCTGGGCGTGTCGTCTCTTCTTCCTCCGGAAGTTCATCGTCGTCGAAGTCCTCGTAGTCGATTGCATCTTCGGCTTTTTCACCAACTTCCAGATCACGCGACAAGAAATCTAGAGAGGGGCCAGTATCTTCGTAGTTGTTCAGTTGTCGCATCACATCGTCGAAATCGGTATCATCCTCGCCCCCGGGGGCCTTTGGTGTTGCGTGAGGCATGATGGGCGAGTAGGCGTGTGCTTAAGATGAGAGAAGTATTGTAAATGAAAAAAGCGTTAGATTCGGCAAGGTTGGTGAGAGAAATCGTAGGTTAAGAATGTAGGCGCGAGCCGGACAAGGCGACAACGCGGTTTAAAATATGCACATCTGGGTATTATGCGAGTCTGCAATTTGGATGTCGGTGTTGCCGTGGCTCAGACTGCGCAGGAGAGAGAAGAGGAGGGGCGTGTCGGACAGGTGGTCGTAGAGGGAAAACGGCGGGTTTCCAGGATACTGCGCAAGGGACCGGGTCACGCTAACCCGATAAGGCAATCAGCTCGATGCCTGAAGTCCAATACTTGAGGGCTCAATAGCATCTTTTCAACGACAATGAAGAACAATAGGAATAAAAATTTTAATCGGAGTTAGAAATACATTTGAATTTATTGTCATGAATAGCAACCATAAGTCATGTCACATTGAAATCCCCATAGAAAATACACAACGCCTTGCTTGCACCCTCCATGCAATAGTGCATTACTGTAGCCTTGTTACCGTCAGGAACCAGTTTTGCAATTTGTGCCAAATCAGAGGTCCTTGGAATGTAAAGGACCATGTGCTTGCTGAATGCTGAGTATTCATCATACAATCGTTGGAGGGAATATGGCTCCATGGTTTTCAGGTTGAATACCTGATCTGAACGATATCCCGGGCCTGCTACAATCAGTTCATGTCGCAGAAGTAACGATTCGGTGACACTTACCTCCCCAGGGAGGGCTGGCGAAGACGAGACTGTACGGCGCCAGTTCTTTGAGTTGATTCTTGAGAATCTCGAAACAATCGCCTTCGAACCAAGTGATCTTGTCCTCCACCCCATAGATTTTCGCATTATGCTTTGCGCACTTCAGCACAGCGGGGTTTTTTTCGATCGCGTAGATTCGTTTCCATTTTCCGGTCAAAGCAAATGCAATGGTGTTACCTCCTGCGCCAGCGAAGGCGTCCACGAGAATACTGCGCCCAGCAGGCGCTGATTCGGCAATCTGCGAAGCTATAGTGCTAAACAAATATTAGCAGAAATTCTGGCATAATCGAAAAGAGTCACAAACTTTGCGACTGGTTCTGGTGTGACACCAAACCAAGCATCATCGGTCAACCATACGCCATCATCGTACTTGGAAAAGATCCGATAGCGTTGCGCCCAGTAGCTGATAATTAGGTTAGCATTGGTGTTTTTTAATGATGATGACACTTACTTCTGGATGTCCCAGGGCACTTCATGCAAGCTGCTGTAGTGATGCACCTCTGGAGGCGCGTCTTCATCTGCCATGATACAATGCAGCGATAAAGCGAAATGATCCATCGATTCTCGATAACTGATAATGGGTGGTGTTTGCATGGTTTGCACCTGCCTATCTGGCCAGCTCGCACGAGGTAAACACACCGGGTACAGCTTCCCTATTCAGCCTCATTCGATCCCCTCTCACACTCTTAATTCTAGCAAATAATTATGTTCGGCGCATTAAATCGCTTCATCGGCCGGCTAGATGGGGAGCCTGGCCAACAGCCTCGCAGCGGCCCCAGTGACAACGCATTCGGTTTCCAGGTCCTCCGCAACAAAGACCGGGATCTGCCTTTAGAGCCATGGTTTGACTTTATAGTTGGTATCAACGGTCATACAATTGTAAGCATATGGGATCATTCAACTCCCGGCATTATAGCTTCGCTCACACTGACAAACAGGAAGATCCGGACCCAAACCTCTTTGCGACAGAATGCCGAAATTGCGCTGGGGGAAGCTTGACACTTGAAGTGTGGAGTGCAAAGGTAGGGATACTAAGATGATACTTCTAGATTCCAGCTGAATTTATATCCTACCAGGGTCAACGAACACACACAATCACTCATCCTATACCGCCAACGAACCCCTCGCTCGGCCTCGCGCTACAGCTTGCCCCTCTCTCTTCCACGCAAAACATCTGGCATGTTATTGCAATCCCATCGCCTCTCAGCCCCGCATACCGAGCCGGATTGCTTCCTTACTCAGACTATATTATTGGAACTCCCAGCGGGACGTTAAGAGGGGAGTCTGCACTCGGGGAGTTGGTTGAAGACCATCTAAACCGCACGCTGGTTCTGTGGGTTTACAACAGCGAATTTGATGTTGTTCGCGAGGTCGAGCTCGTTCCTACCAGGGGCTGGGGTGGCGAAGGCGCCCTTGGTGCAGAGTTGGGATACGGTGCTCTTCACCGACTACCCATTGGACTCGGAGAAGCAGTTGAGGGACCGGGGGAGGTTGTATTCGAGACACGCGAGGACGCCACTACTTCCCCAGATACATCAGCTCCTACGGGTAACTTCATAGTCCCAGCAAACATGGCAGCGCCGCCGCCTCTAGCCTTCGCTCAAGCAAGAGTTGCGTCGCCATTACAGAGCAGATCGCCCGCCGGGCGTCGTGCAGGGAAATCACGGTCCATGGCATCGCCCAATAGAGCCTTTGATGATTACTTTGCTGAGGGTGAAGAGAAAAGTCGGGAGCAAGACTATGCGCCGTCACGGCATGGAACTCCTCTACCTCCACCACCGAAGGCAGGAGTCTCGCCCTCTCACTCGGGGAGCCCTGCGCCGGAAGGAGGACCAGGACCTACAGAGGAAGAATGAATGATGGCTTAAGAATCCGAAACCAATTTAATATGGAGTATGATGAAATCAAATTATGTCGATCGTCGTGAATGCAAATGGGTTTTGCAACATTCTATATCTTAACAGGTCAGCGAGTTTGTACTTTAACTTTCCTATAACAGATCTAGCCATGATCTCAATAATCAAGGGATGCATGGTATTGATATGCTTTTTATTTGGCCTGGATATTGCCAACCCACAAACACAACACTAGAGACCATCGGCGGAGTACTAACGATGTCTGGAGAATGACAACGACCACGCAAGATAACTAGACTGTATTGACCTTGGACGAGCCGCTCTCAACTTCAATCTTGCAGAACCATGGATGGGATAAGATTTCGGCAGGTGAAGGTCTTTTCGCGGGATCATATTGCAAAATCCATCGAAGGAGCGCCTTCACTTCGTGAGCTTCCTCCTCATCAAAATCCGGGCATGCCCGATCGAATGACTCTTCTATGGATGGCTCCTCTAAAATAAGCGGTTCCTTTCCCGGACGGACCCCTCCAAGCTCCTCATTGAAGAGCTTCCTCTCAGGCGTGAAGTAGAGCGACGATCTTGTCTAACGGCTAAAGAGCTCGTCTGGGAGATCGCCGAGTAGTGATGTGATATAGTGAGTTCCTTTAACTAGTGCGACTTTAGCGATGTGGTGTAAGATTCTTGGCTCGGTTGTCAATCCCGAGATTTGAGACATAAGGATCTTTAGGGCGATATATCTACTATTTCTTAGAGGGGATGAGTAACGATAATCTATAGTGTCGGGGGTAAAGATATACAGAATGAACTTACTTCATGTTATAGGCGAGCTAAACCGTTGAGTAGGAGCCCTCGCTAAGCTTCCGGATGACCTTGTACTGTTGATTGAAGACGTCGCCAAGAACGACTGGATGATAACTATATGGGTGGTAATCCTCCACCCACTCATAGAGTGATGTAATATCTTTGAATCTCCGTTCGTCATCTATTGGGCCACTTGATGGCGGAGTGGGAGGAGAAGAGGTACTCATGGCTGCGATGTAGAATGGAGAAGACCAAACTCGAGAGAAACTGAGAAGACGTTCCCAAAGAGCGTTGGCCAAAGCCTCCGTGGTACGTTTATGCTCGTCTACATGAACGAATTTCGGAACTTATGACCGCACAATTCAAACAAAGGAATCAATCCGGTTATGTCTTCGGATCTAGGAGTTTCTAAGCGTACATATGCAACAAATAAATCCATCTATAGCCCCAAACAGTCGGGCTATATTTAGTGGCCCTTGCTCACCAGCTCTTCCAACTTCTTGCGGGTGTTACCAATCTTTTCCTCCATCATCTGGCGCGCCATTCCGCTGTGCGCAATTCCGGTGTACCAGATGTGCTCCGCGCGCTCACGAGCAGCCAAGTGCTTGTCCGCAAGCGCAGGGACCTTCTTCTCGTACTCCCAAACCAAATCTCCGACATTCCGCATGGTCACGGGCAGGAGGCTGTAGGCGGCAGCAGTACCGAAAGCGAGCGGCGACGCAGTGCGCAGGAAGATGCCACGGTTACGCGAGACGATTGAGCCGGCCATGGCGGCCACGACGACGTAGACACCGCCGGGCAAAAGACGCTCGCCGGACTCGGCAGAAGGCGCGAGCGAGGCAACGGTGTTGGTGAAGCAGTTTTCGATGTTGAGGGCCCGAGACAGGAAGTTGTTGAAGCCCTGCTCTGCGGCGAGAGAGTGTGAGTAGAGGAAAAGGCGAGCTTGTCGGACCTGAGCGGTCAGGATGTCTGTCGGGGTGGGCGAAGAGGGAGCTTGTTGCGCAGCCGGCGCAGAGATCGACTTCGGGGTAGCAGGCGCAGCAGGCTGCGGAAGCTTGGAGGTTTCAGGAATGTCGGCGGGCAAGTCATCGTAGATGGGTTTCCGCTATATTAGGAAAGCAGTCGTGTGTCAGACCAAGCCTTTTCAGACATTCAATAGAGCTAGGAACAGATCTGGTCATACATAGTCTCGGGGCTCTTCTGCGAAAGCGGTATTCTTAGGATACAGAGCCATACCTCCCGCGAGGAGAGTGGCTGCGATCGGAGCCACAGCCCGCTGGGAACAAGTCAGCATAGGAACGGCACATTGGGGATCAATTGAATCCAACTTGAAAGGAGGCAGTTATACAAGGGCATACCTGTTGCAACATCGGCCGGAATGACATCCTGAGGGTGTGGGGAAGAGGAGAAGGGGGGCGAGCTGGTAGTGAGGATGAAGCAAAGTCGTGTTGGAGCAGGACGGGAATTCTTCGGCTCGGCGGAACCTCCAGAAAACTCCGTCATTGTCCGTTCTCCTTGACTCTAGATTTCTTTCGGCAGGGGATTTGTGAATCTGCAATTTCCGATGGTTTTCATCTGCTTTTAATACAGTCTCTACAATGCTTCGCCCTTTGCGACGAACATGGACATGTCGCAAATGCCTACTGCGGCCCCAATATCGAGCCTTCGAGAGCGCCGCATCTTCCCCGTCAACGTCGTTCGAGTATATTCCAGCGGATAACAGTTCACCAAGAAAGAAGACCGACGACCATACTCTACGGCGAGTTTTTGATTCCCAACCGTTTTGGAATGAATTCTCCCAGCAGCGCACGACCTCCGTCCCAAAGCGAGCTGGATTGGTCCAAAATCAATACCTGACAAGTCCCGAGGGCTTTAGGACATTCGCTAATGTCTCGCTACAAAGATGCCAGGCTATTGTAGCCAAGGTGCTTGCGGCCTCGACGGTTGAAGAATACAGGGCCCTTGCACGCGACCTTGACCAGCTGAGCGATCTCCTGTGTCGTGTCATCGACTTGTCCGACTTCATTCGAACCATTCACCCCGATCCGAGAATACAGGAAGCAGCCACGCAGGCGTGGGCTCTTATGTTTGAATATATGAACGTTTTGAACACAACCACGGGGCTTCATGACCAACTCAATAAGGCCTTGAACAACCCCGACGTGACATCATATTGGACCGAGGCAGAACGGATCGTGGCACAGATCCTCAACAAGGATTTCTCGAACTCTGCAATTCACATGCCGCCCAATGTGAGGCAGCGGTTTGTAAATCTCTCAAATGATGTGAGCCAGTTGGGTTCCGATTTTATGAATGGGGCGGAGCCTGCAAGATCCCAGGTGGTCTTTGGTGCCAATAGCCTCCAAGGCTTGGATCCTATGGTTGTCTCCAAGCTCAAGCGATGGAATAAGAAAGCGCCAGTTCCGACTACAGGTATTGTCCCTCGACTCGTTCTGCGCTCGGTACATGATGAAGAAGTTCGCAAAGAGATGTATATCGCGACTCGAACATCCAGCAAGCGCCAAATTCAAAGACTGGAGGAACTTTTGGTGAAGAGGGCAGAGTTGGCACAACTTACAGGCTATAATAGCTTCGCGCACATGACTCTCGGCGACAAAATGGCCAAGACGCCCGAAGCAGTATCAAACTTTTTGACTTCGCTTGTGTCAAGCAACCAAGGTCTAGTCCGGGAAGAACTATCTAAGCTGCAGGCCTTGAAGGGAGACTCCGCCCTTCAACCCTGGGACCACGCATACTACGTTCACAAGCGCGTTTTGGATTATTCCCTAGCTCGTCGCTCTCGTCACATGGGTGTTGTCAACGAGTTCTTTTCTTTGGGGACAGTGATGCAAGGTCTCTCTCGACTGTTTGACCGTTTGTATGGTGTACGTCTAGTTCCCCATGAAGCATCTCCCGGCGAGACTTGGCATCCCGACGTCCGTCGATTGGATGTGGTGGATGAATCGGAGAATCACATTGCAGTCGTCTACTGCGACCTATTTACACGGCCGAGCAAACACCCGAACCCGGCTCACTTTACTCTGCGCTGCTCGCGCGAAATCTCTCCAGAGGAGATCGCCGAGTGTGCGTCTATGAACGAATCTGCGCACCCGAACGATGGCATGGCCACTGGTGTAGATCCGCAGACTAACACTCTGCGCCAACTTCCAACCATCGCCCTCGTGTGTGATTTCCAGGAACCTCAGGCCAATGGCAGCGGCCAGCCAACTCTCTTGAGTGAGCAGAGTGTTCGCACTTTGTTCCACGAGATGGGCCACGCTGTCCACTCCATCCTGGGCCAAACGCCTCTACAGTCCATCTCCGGTACTCGGTGCGCCACGGACTTCGCCGAACTTCCTTCCGTATTGATGGAGAGCTTTGCGACTGCGCCAGAGGTGCTGCGCCTCTACGCGCGACACTGGAAGACCGACGAGCCTTTGTCTGAGAGCATGATGCAGAGCATGGAGCTAGACCGCACTGCGCACGGGTCCATCTACGGCGCCGTTGAGAATGAAGCACAGATCCTCATGGCTCTCGTCGATCAGGCATATCATTCGATCCCAGCCGAAGTCAGCTCCGCTGGCATTGATTCCACCGATATCTACCATCGAGTCTTTTCCGAGTATTCCAGTCTACCCGAGCCGAACAATATTCCGCGCACTTCTTGGCAGGGCTTCTTCGGCCACTTGTATGGTTACGGTGCCACCTACTATAGCTATATATTTGATCGCGCGATCGCAAACAAACTCTGGCAGGACGTCTTCCTGTCTGGTCATGCGGCAACTGACCGTGCCGCCGGTGAGCGATACAAGAACGAAGTCCTCCGTTGGGGTGGTGGCCGCAATGGCTGGCAGTGTGTGGCCGGTGTCCTGGGAGACAAGAACCCCTCCAATGCCAACGGACGGTTAGCTGAAGGTGGCGACGAGGCCATGCGTGAGGTTGGCCGCTGGGGCCTCGGGCGTGAAGGCGTGTCCGGATAATGTGACACGAATGTACTTTTATTGCCTTTGACACATACCTTAGAGGGTTTTGTAAATAAACATATTTTCACGATTTGATTTGATCTTGTGACCGCAATTAAACTAGCATGCATTGGATGTAATGTCCGAGACTAGCCCACAGCTAAGCCGCGCCACCAGTGTTGGCGTTGTCGGCGTTGTCGGTTATGGCGGGGACGGTGATTGGAATGTCTCACTGTCCCCCCTTTGTTTGGTCTATCACGAAACACTCTCTGTACTCCAGGGCTGGATTGCAACCTCCAGATGTCGTTTATTATGCTTGAGAAGTCTTCCAAGTAGGCAAAGGAACTGGAAATGATAATTTTTCAGTATACGAGGCAACTGGACTTCCCAGACAAGCCTTATCGCACGTTTTGCCCTCTGACGTCTTTCACTTGCACTATGCATGGTGGCTTGTTTAGCGGCTGCTATGCGATGATAACAGGTACCGTCGAACTGGTTGTTTATATTGAGGTTATCTCCTAGGCAGAGCACATGCTAGATCTCAGGGAAATAGATTAACAGACGGTCTGTTCACCTGATCCTCTTAATCTTATAAAATACCAGGCCTGATCGTCTAGACCTTATCTTCTTTGTTCTGCAATTTGCAATAAATACGGAGGACCTACGTTCACTTCGTGGTAATTGACCGCTGTCTCTGACTCGTTGTATCGGATATTGCGGTTTCAGCCTCTGTCCCTGCTCAATCAAACTGATATTTGGCGAGAAATTATTTATTCCCTTGGCCTTCGATCTTCCTCTCGCAAATCACCATTCATTCAAGTTCAGTCTACGCATTCAAAATGCCTGATATCCTTATTGTCAATGACAATGCTTCATTCGCTTCTAGCGATACCTTCTCTACCCAAGATTCGATAGAGCAACCACGGACCCCACTCCGTCGAAGAAATACAGTTGCAACGCTCACACGAAAAGTTTCTCAGAGGATAACAAATAAAATCCTCAGGGGCGGCGTCCAAGAACATGCACTCAGCGAAAAAAATCTCAAATATCTCAATGACGCAACAGATGTTGACCCACCAGATCATGCGATCCACGAGGTCCAAATATACGACCGGATTTACGAAGCCATTGAAGAGGAATGCCCTGTTTTCGACGTAGAAGCAGCGAGGGAGATGCGTCTGCATCAGTCATACTCTGCCTTCTGTCAAAACTTCACGCTATCGGGGACAACACGGACGACCAGGAAATTCGACTTGTCAATGGGACCAGAGTGGGCCGGGGAACATCCGGAGTTTCCCCTTGACGAAACCCTCGAAACCAATGACACGCTTCAATTCCCGGGTTCTCATTCCTATCCCGAACACATAACGGTGCATCCAAAGCCCCGAGCAAGCACAGTCGAATTCCCAATATCACACCCATCCACAGATCTCGACGCATCACACCCAGTGACGACTGTCGAGAGGTCACCTTCGGAATGGCCCGTCACAGACACGCCAAATATCGAGGAAGACTTCGACCGGATCAGTTCAAGCTTTGAGATAACGCCCAACTCCAACTCCAACTACCTCCAACCACCGCCTCATATCATCACCCCAACTGTCTGGATGGACATGCAGCGCATCGAGCGGGAACGAAAGGCAGCTCGACGGCAGAGACTCCTCAATCCGTTCCGGTCGTGGTTTATGGCAAGCCAACCCCTCGTGGGGGCGGAACGATGAAGTCGAATAACGGGTTCGAATAACGGGTTCTGCTGTCAGACAAAGCACGGCTGGGCTGAGACATCGGTTTGGTTTCAAATTTGCTGGTTGGATTTTCAATAGATTTCCATCTTAATTAAACAATCATATTTGCTTTTTGCTGTGAATCATATTTATCACGGTGCATAGCGACCTCGGGATCACTAGGGACTTTGGTTCTATTGGCTTCTATTTCCAGCAGAAATTTGCCATTTCCAAATTATTATAGCGTAGCATCATTGACTATGTTCTCGATTTTAGGTATTACCAAGATTCGCCCATAAGCTGACGCTACCCCAGCCCCGCGGTTCGGCTTTCGCCTCGGAACGTGCCATCGGAACGTGTCTGAACTGGGGGATCTACAGAAACTGGGGGAACTGATTCCGCACACTTCAATTCCAGGCTCAGAGTCGTCTTCTTAAATAAACCCAGAAATGGCCTTCTTCTTTGTTTGCTTCGACTTTTCTACTCAGTATCTCGCTTCTGTTGTATCACACAAGTTCAAAATATAACCACATCATGGCTATCCACCGCATAATAACCGATCCAGCTGCCCTTCTAATTGTCGGAACCCTTCTCTTCCTTGTCTACCTGATATATCAACGATTCTTGCATCCGTTGGCAAAATACCCCGGGCCGTTTCTTGCTGCCTTCACGGACTTAAACAAGTTCTCGCTGTTCTTGTCTCTGCGCATTGACCAAAGAATCTTTTCTTTGCATCAAAAATACGGACCTATCGTACGAATAGCTCCAAACGAGCTCAGCTTCTGGAATCCCGAGGCCGTCGCCCCAATCTACAAGTCCGGAAAGGCAATGGTCAAAAGTCCATTTTTCGATGGATTCAAAACATTCAATCCAAGTCTGTTTGGGAACCGAGATGAAAAAGTAAGATTCAGACAAAACAAATGTGTTCTCCGCAATGTTCTCACAAAGAAGCCAGGTTCACGCCCTGAGACGGCGACAGATGGCCCATAGTTTCTCGACGAGATCTTTGACTGATATGGAGTCGATTTTTGATCGACATGTCGAAAACTTGCGTCGGAAGCTAGACAAATACGCGGTATCGGGAGACCAGTTTGACCTCAAGGATCTCATTGCCTTTTATGGCTATGATGTAATTGGGGAACTGGCCTTCAATCTCGATTTCCACTCGCAGGAAAAGGACGACCCCGAGAATCTTCCCCCTATAAATGACCATATCCTTCTCGGATGCTTGTATGGCTCTCTTCCCGGGATCCTGCCTTGGTCAATGAATTTGAGCAAGTATCTGCCGTTTTCATGGCTCCGCAAGTTGCTCGGGAGCCGGCAAAAGATTCGCAGCACGGTGGCACAATGCGTGGAGGACAAGACGAGTGAATCTTCTGGAAAAACACTTCTCACAAACCTCCAGAAGGCAAAAGACCCAGAAACGGGCGAGGAATTGTCAAATATCGAAATCAACTCCGAAGCGTTTGGATTCCTTGTTGCTGGTTCGCACACTACATCAGGGACCTTGACTTTATTTTTTCACCATCTTCTTCACAACCCCGACGTTCGGCGCCGGTTGGAGGAGGAGATTTGTCAAAAGCTGCCGATCATTGAGCACGGCGCCTATCCGTTTCCTGGGCTGGAGAAAATGTTGCCGTTTATGACGGCATGTATCCGTGAGAATTTCCGTCACTCGCCAGTCTTTACTATGCCATTGACACGGACTGTGATGGATCATGCGGGGATGATTATCGATGGAGAACGGATCCCTCGGGGAGTGAGTGATTTTACTATTGATGTGGAAGACTTTGCTAATTTGTGTCAGGTCAATGTGTCCATCTCGAACTACTCATTGCACCACAATCCGTCCATTTGGGGACCTGATCATGACGAATTCAACCCTGATCGTTGGTTGGCTTCCGACGGCACGGCACAGGATAAATTACAGTATCTAATGCATTTCGGAGTGGGTCATAGGATGTGCATTGGACGCAACATTGCGACAATAAGTATTGTCAAGATTATCACGACTCTATTTCGATCCTATGATTTTGACGTGATGGATAAGGATGAGCGCCTTGATGTCATGACTGTTGGCATTGGTGAGAAGGAAGGTCCATTGTGGTGTCGTGTGAGCTGGAGAGAGTAACATGCCGAGGATGTGTGATCTTCAAATGCTCTTGGTGATGGAGCGTGTTGTAGTATCATATAGCAATGTTGCAAAAAGTGAATTTTCCGTCTCATTTTTCTGGGGCATAAGTTCAAGGCCTAACATATTCGGTTCATTGAGGCTTTTTAATCAGATAGTAGACTAAGCCTGAGTTATGAATTGCCATAGTTTGAAAGCTCACTACATAAAATAGATGCTAAACTTGCCACTAAAACGAAAATACAAACCTCCAATCCCTTCCTAAGCTGGGGTTGTAAACTAATCGGAGCCCTTTGACCATACGGCTTTTCCGAGCGACAATGATAGGTTTCTACTATTCTTGGTTCTCTCACTCCATATGTAGTAGTTCCATGAGTGATACAGAGTAGTATTCAAGTTTTAATTCAAGGCAAAGCTGAAACGAAAGACGGAAAGTGCACACGGAACTTGACATGCGTAACGGGAAGTGACGAACAGTGCGGGACAGAAACGCCGTCAATAAGCCGACAGCATATGTATCCTATAAACTCTTCATATTGGAAATACCTAGAAGTACCAGATCCATTTGAACAAGAACTTTTTCACACCCATTATGTCTGCCGAAATTGACGTGCCCAGCACCGTAAGTCTAGAATTCGCATCAAATTAAACCAGACATTGAAGCCAACATTTCTAGCTGGATGCACAAGCTATACGTGTTATCATCGTTGGAGCAGGACTGGGAGGGCTGGCCTGTGCCATTGCGTGTCGTCGAGGTGAACACCCGCTCGATGTAACCATTCTCGAACGATCTGAAGAGCTCTTGCCCGTCGGCGCAGGGATTCAAATACCACCAAATGCAACAAGAGTTATGGCCCATTTCGGCCTTATAGAAAAGCTGAAAAGGGCCGGCGCTATCACTACGGAGGGGTATACGCTGAGAAGATATCGGGATGGACATACAGTTGCTCAAAAGCCGTTGTAGTGACTTATGGTGCTGAATAGATGTCTGTGCCAAGTAATCGAGTTAGCTTGCTTGGGATATGCTAACGATATTCGGAAAGGGTCATACATAGGGCTGACTACCAAGCCTTGCTTCTTGAAGAAGCAACTAACGCAGGTGCACATCTAGTCAAAAATGCCGAAGTGGTCAGCATCGAGTCGTGTCCAGCCGTTGACATGGTTGTGCTAAAGGACGGCAGACGTTTCCATCCCGACATGATTATTGGTGCAGACGGTAAGCATTTCTTGGTTCGAAAGTGTCCATAAATCACAGTTGGCTAACACTGGCATCAGGACTTTGGTCTACAATGCGGGAGTTCATTATGGATGGGCCATCTCCACCTCTGGAAACAGGTGATTTGGCGTATCGTGGCATGTTTTCGCTCCAAGAGCTCACTGTGTTAAACGACCCAGATGTCGAGAAGCTTGTTGCAGCATCTGATGTTCAGGTCTGGATGGGGCCGGAGAAACATGTTGCGTTTTACCCCATCAGAAATAAAACAGAATTCAATTTGGTATTACTGCAAGTCACTTCACCGCAGATAATGCCAAAGCCCTCAGTTGACAGAGTCCAGTTGTCCAGATGACCTACCCAAAGGATCACGAACGTCAGAGGGCGATTTGAAAGAGATGCGAAGTCATTTTGACGGATGGGACCCGGCGTATGATTAATACAAGCCCATTGCACGATATGAACTAATGCATTGACAGACTTCGGACCATGATCTCTTGTCTCCGCAGAGCTTTGAAGTGGAAGCTCTGCCACCACGAGGAGCTCCAGAGATGGACAAAGGCGAGTTATTGATCGAATAGTATTATGTTCCTTGAATCTAGTCTGACCGTGAATAGGGTACTGTGACCTTGTTAGGCGACGCCTGTCATCCCACTTTGCCATACCAAGCGCAAGGGGCGGCAATGGCAGTCGAGGATGGTGCTGTCTTAGGACAGCTCTTGACGACGGCACAAAGTCGGGCACTTCCAAATTCTGCGACGGAATTTCGTGCGATGATTACTGACATTTTAAGTCTCTATGAAACGCTGCGGAAGGAGCGAACCGAAACAAACGTCCTTGGGGGCGTACAGAGTCGTGATTTCTATCACCTTTGCGATGGAAGCGAGCAAATGGAACGCGATCAGATCTTATCCAGACTCCCTGATTCACAATGGACGGGGGATTGCAAATGGAACTGGGGAGATGCTAAATATCAACAGAGCCTTCTTGGGTTCGATGTACTGGGCGACGCCGCACGCGAGTTCAATGGCCTTGGGTTTTAGGGCTCGGGAAGAAGTGAGAAGACCTTTTTGGGGTTGATACTCGCACCCCACTTACCTGTTATGCTATGTTCCACTAGAATGTAACAATCAAAGCCTACAAATACACGTTTACGCCGATCGAAAGCTATTTATAACAAGTCCAAAGTACATTCTGCTGCGGAAACAGTCCGCCTCTTACGTAATATATCTCGTGTCGATCCACGGCTGGATATATATATATTCTGCGGGGATGCCTTCAGAGCTCCGACCATACTTACATCATCGTAATCATCCCATCTCAATGTGAATTCCAGAGTTGTTGTGAGATCATGAATAATGCCACATCCAAGCGGCGTTCTCGACTCAAACCCGACTGTGAGCGAAAACGACCAAAGTATGTCTTCAAAGCGTGTGCATCATGCAAACGCAGAAAAGTTCGCTGTAACGGCAAAACTCCTTGCGAGTTCTGTGAGCGACGTTCGATCAAGTGTTGCTATTCAAATGAGTTTGAATCATCCACGGATCATGCCCACCATTTGAATGATCGGGAGTTACCGTTGGAGGAAAAGAACGTTGGCCGATCGGATATTGTGTAAGAGCTGTATGATTCACATGGCGATCGATCGCTAATTGCGCTTCAAGGCCATTGCAGCAGCTGTCTCACCTTGTGGCAACTTTGCAGGATAAGGTCGAGTTATTACATCACGAAATCCAAGATGTTCCGAAAGAGCGTTTGTCTAGCGTCAAGGGTGATACTGATACTCAGAACCACCCGAAGCTGAAAGATCTTCGATCTACCTCACCATCACTGCCTGATTATACTGGCCCAACCAGTTCTCTCTTCAGCCTCGGCGTTGCGAAGATGATTCTAGAGCATGGCAGGCCTTCCAGCCCAGAGAAGCTAGATCCGGAGATCGCTGGATCGGTGATAACGACAAACGAGCAAGACATGACGCAAATGGAGGCTTGTTCATCAACTAAAACGGGTAGTAGTGACCTGGGCCTGCTGAGTGAGATTAACTTGAACGAAGCTTTCCGCCTCATTCATCTGTATGATGATATCGTAGGCACGTTGCTTCCGATAGTTGATATCGAAACAATCAAAATGCAAGCTAAAATGCTGTGGGCGAACATCATTTACGAACTGAATCCGAATGATAGTTCTGGTGGCCTCCGTGAATGCGATGCCACCCCTTTGAAAATGGTTATCGCTATTGCTCTGCTTGCTGAGGGTGGTGGCTATAGCCGCGTGGCGATTGATCTGCACGACAGCCTGCTACCAAATGTATTGCCCCATGCCGTCTTGAGAAAATTCTCCTTACGGGGCCAGCAGATAATCCTACTGAATGTACGTGCCGCTACGCAACATCATATTCGACTCTAATCGAACTTTGACAACAGGCCTTGTTTTATATGTTCCAGGATGACTACAGACTCGCGTCTCGAATGATTACTATTGGCTCGCGCACTATTATTGAGTCCGGATTACATCGGAAAAAAGTTCTTTCGGATTATTTCCCACGTCCAGAGGAGCAGAAGGAAATCACCACCCTGCTCTACACTTCTTTCGTTCTCGATCGGCAAATAAACTTCGCAGCTGGGTTGCCGTTCACTTTCCGCGACAACGATATCGACATTCCCGAGGTGGTTCGTTTTTTCTAATAGCTCGATGTTAAATGAAAAGGGTCGGCAGACTAATAATAGGGACTACAGGAAGACGTTCCATATCTGAAAGCCATGAGATCATATGTGCAGTTTGGAGCCCAAATTTGGTATTCCATCACAGATGAACACGGGAAATTCAAGCGACGGTTGAAGGAAGAAACCTTTGACTTTTTGAGCTACAAAGTCAAATCATGGCAAGAAAGTCTCCCCAAAGCTCTACAGTCGTCCCAAGACGAGCTGGGATCTGTGGAGAGCATTCCTTTCGAGGACCGAAAGGCCTATCTCATCAGATCTATCCTGTTCCTACGAGCAAACCAGATCAGGATTTTGGTCCTACGTCCTCTACTTTACTCATACCAAACAGCGAAAGCGAATCCCGGCCATGCAGACACCCTTGTCCAACTTGCAACAAACACGATCAATAAGGTTCTCGAGATGGATCGTCAATCCAATCTATATCGCACACAAATACCAATTTTGAATCATTTCCTTTCATCTGCGTTGTGTTCCTTGTTCCTTGTTCTTGCTCATTATTCACGCCTTTCCACCACGGAGCTCACTACGAGTGAAAGTGCCGCCGTGGTCGATGCTATTGCTAATGGCCTAAGCTTACTGCGAACTTACCTATTCTCCCTGTCTTCACAGCGGTTGCTGCGAAAGTTTACTGGGCCACAGGGCCTGATATCTCATCTTGGGCTTCTGAAAAACTGCAATCACTTTGACAAATTACTCTTGGAGAAGCTTGATATTGACAAATTTACGGGTCTAGACAATGTCGCGCTAGATCGAAATCCAGTGATGGAGGGTAATGATCATCCTCTGCATGATTACTCCAATCCGACAGGAAGTGAGTGGCCTCTTGAATTATCATTGCCATCCCCAGTCACGCCCGGAGATATAAGCCAGCTATTTGCTAGCTATGAATTGGACTTCATGGGATTCAATCTCTTATGATCAATGCAACTTGTGTTTTGTGACTGTTTCCAAGCAGCTTGCGCTTGATACTCTTGTTTTTCCGCAACACTAAAAATCGACTTCCCTCTGAATCACAAAAATTCTAACTCAGGTGCTGAGTTATGTTTCTATGTCCGTAAATATACTTTTAGACAAAAAACAAAAAAAAATGGACTCGCGGGGAATCGAACCCCGGACCACTCCCATGCTAAGGGAGTATTATACCACTAAACCACAAGCCCAGCTCGATGGAAGAGGTCAGCATTTAATGCTATATGAAGTAAACTTAATCTACAGCATGTCTACGGAAGGGTTACGATGTTCCATACTCCCTAAGCATCAATGATATACAGTAACATGTGTGTCCGGTAGACTAAATCCCAAGTCCAATCATTACATGGCACCTATGGATCGTAAACAATCAATGTGATGCAAGGAGAAGCTGATGAACATGCTGTAGGTATGTAATAATCATAACCTGTTACTTCTTACTATGTATATATGCACCGGTTGATCCGAAGGTAAAATGACAATGTGTAAAATGTGTATGTACATGGGACAGAGGAAGGAGCAGCTTTACAAACAAACTCTCGTAAAAGACCAGACATGGTTTAATTCCCTGTCGCACGGAGTGAATGTCACTCAAAGGGGGTATGGAGAAATAGAAGAATTGCATAGGAAAGAAAAAGTAGTGGAACCAGCCGAATCGCTAAAACTGACAGATGAAGCATGGGTCGAAGCACATACCGAAAAACAAGGGGAAAGGGCCCGTTGTATGCAAATAAAAATTGATATGGCGATTCTACTCATGCGCTGCTTCCAAATCGGTTCGTAAGCCAACCGGCGAGTCCCCCAACACCCTCACCCCGGCTAGACCGACGGTTCCTGGATTCCCCTCCCTCTGGTGTAGGGGACCCGGGTGGTGACATTCGAGTGGAAAGCCGACTCTGCAATGAAGAAGATAATGAGGATCGACCGCTGCGCACAGTGCGAGCAGAACTGCGACGCGGTTGGGATCTCGGCTGCTCAGGACTATCCCGGATCACTACCGGATTCTCAGGGGTGCCTTCTCCGCCTCTGTGAGATATACCGTCAACTGAGAGTCGTCGTTCATGGATACGACTCACATACTTACGTTGTATTTGAATTGATGCTGCGCCGGCAATGCGGACAAGTGTCATGCTGGGTCAGCCATGCATGGATGCAGTTGTAATGAAACCAGTGAGCGCATGGTAACACAGTGACTTCCAAGCCGAGTTCAACGTTATCCATGCAAATCGAACACACTGCTTTTCCTTCAGATCCCATCATCTCTTCAGTGATCTTCTGCTTCGGCAAAGCTTGGACGGCAGCATCAGATGCTGGCGGTGCCGCAGTGCTAGTCCCTCCAGGATTATCAACCAGTTGTGTGATGACTCGGTCGAGCTCCTCCTGCGAATAGACTGCATCCCCGCTTCGACTCATGTTGAGAAGGGCAGACAATATCGAAAGAGCATGTGGGCTTGCCGGGTTACGACCTCCACGTGAGCGTCGTGTAGTTTGTACTCCAATGTCAGCACGAATGGCGTCCATGATTCTAGATTTGATTAGTCTGGTGATAATGCAACATAGTAGCCAAGTACATACTCATTTATGTCTGTCGGGTTGCGGTTGACAGGTTGAGGCGCATCTGCATTGCGGGGAGAGAGGCCTGGGTGATGGCCAGTAAGGTGGTCGTCCTCGAGCCAGTCGGGAGCGGTAGAGGATTGAGGATGGAAGGGGTCCTCTCCAAAGCCTCTGTAACCACGGGCATTTGGCTCCATTAAATTTTGAAAAATTGTGTCAAAGCCGTGCATCATCATCGGAACCACAGGGTTCGGGCCATTGTTGCGCTGACCAGAAGGCCTTCCGGTCTCAAGTGTCGCGCTGCTGAATGAGAAGCGACCGTCCGGCGATCTGTATGTGCGCAAGGAGGAAAATGGAGGAGTAGCCCTTCCGAAAAACCCGGGGCCTTGCTGTTCTTGCGTGTCTTGTTCCCACGGATTGTGGTCTAACCATGGGCTAACGCGCGAAGGCGATACGGAGTCCGCACGGCGTGAGGGGGAGCCTTCGGGAGATATTTCTGGGGGGATTTCAATCTAGAGGAAGCGACAGTGTCAGAATTAAATAAACCAAGAGAGAAAGTATTCGCTGTACTATTTCTGTGAACTCCGATTGACAATGTGGGCACGTCAAAAAATCACCATCCTTAGTCCAAACCCCGCCACAGGCATGGCATAACATGCGGTCGCCAGTGTCCATGTCGCAATACAGACTGATAATCACCTAGAGATTATGAGATGTTGTACAACGTAGATGTTATGATTGAAGCTGATAGAATCGATAAGCGCCAGAACAGTCACGAGTGCCTTATCTGCGGGGAGCTGGTCACAGTCGGTTAGATGGCCATATTTATCGGATGAGGAAGAACAGAAAGAACAGGAAGAACAGGAAGGGACGGGGAGTTAATATTTCACAGATGGTGGTGAGCCAACGTGCAAGGACAAAGGATGATTGGAGTGATTAATCGAGTGAGCCTCCAAGGCTCTGGCCGGCGGCTGGAAGGAGGCAATGACGTTGATCAGCAAATCGCCGCCATAGCCTGAACAAGGCAAAGGGAACCGTCAACCATGGACTTGTATGAAACAAAGAACACTCTAGGTTTCATACAAAATTAGAAAACCATGTGTTTGGCAGCCTTGTCTCCTATTGTTGCTCTTGTTTCAACGCCTGGTTTCATATCGGGGAATCTGTCGCGACGCAAGGGCCAGGAGGCGAGGTATACAGCTCATATTACTCAAAAAGTTAAGCCTCCTTTTACACCGGAGAGATTAAGACTCAATCATATGATCAATTCGTAAAGAAACTAGTACAAAGTGTATAATAAACAGCAAAAAATGGTCACTTTTTCCATGCAGGGATACAAATTCCTCGCGATCATCTCATCCCTGCCAAATGCACTAGGAGAGTGAACTGAAAAAAGAGACAGCAATGGATATCACAGATGCAATTCAATCGGTAACCTCAAAACACCCCGAAAACGGATGACAACGTCGAGCAGTTTACTTGATCTCGAGGAGCTTAACGTCGAAGATAAGCTTGGAGTTGGCGGGAATGCCGGGGAGGGCCTTCTTGCCGTATGCGAGAGAAGGAGGGATGGAGATACGACGCTCACCACCGACAGCCATGCCGGCGACACCGATGTCCCAACCCTTGATGACCTCGCCCTTTCCGAGCTTGAAGGTGAAAGGCTTGCCCTTCTTGTTGGAGTCGAAGACCTTGCCGTCCTCGAGCTTGCCGATGTAGCGCATAGCGACAGTGTTGCCACTCTTGGCAGCAACACCCTTTCCGAGCTTCTTGTCGTCCATCTTGACTCCACGGATCTCCTTAACGCCGAGAGTGCCGGTGGGCTTGTCGCCGGAGGGGGTAGGGCCCTGCTCGAGGTTCTTGGCGAACTGGACCTTCTTGTCGGTCTTGGCCTCCTTCTTGTCATCCTTCTTGTCCTCCTTCTTAGCATCCTTCTTGGGCTCAACAGCGGCGGCATCGCCGTTGTTCTTCTTGAGCTTCTTCTGCTGGGCCTTGGTCAAGGCGGGCTCCTCAGCCTTGGTAGACTTGGCCTTGTTGGCCTTAGCCATCAGATCGTCGAGGCTGACCTCATCCTCAGCAGCGCGCTTGTTCTTGCCCTTCTTGGACTCAACAAGCTTAGGAGCCTCGTCCTCGCTCTCAACCTCGGTGATTCTAGGGTCCTCAATGTCATCAAGGTCATCGCTCTCATCACCATCCTGCATGGCCAAGAGATCTTCCATGTCAAGCTCATCCTCATCGGGAGACAGATCGTAGTCATCCTCCTCCTCATCGTGGTCATGGTCATGGTTGTGTTCATCAAGACCAATGACGTAGTTACCGGTTAGGAAGACAGTGTGGTTACCGGTGACCTTGAAGAACACGGGCTCACCCTCGCAGACAGTGATGTCCAGGGGCTGTTGGTAGTTCTACAGAGGTATTAAACGTCAATATTCAACCGATTGTGAAACTCAAGAGGGTGTTCGCCTTACCTGGCTGGGGCTGAGGGTGCAGATAACGCTCTCATCGAGCTCCAGGCCCTCCTCAGACTCAGAGTCCTCATCGTCAAGGGCAGGACCCTTACCCTTGATGAGCTTGGAGATGGCAGCCTTTAGGTCGAAGTCCTCCTCATCGTCCTCCTCCTCATCATCTTCCTCCATGGCGTCCTCGAGGTCCTTGAGGGCGGCAGCTGCCTTGAGCTTGCGGGCCTTCTCCTTGTCGCTAGGACCACCGTTGGACTCCTCCTCGTCATCGGAGTCCTCTTCATCCTCATCACTGTAGTCCTCATCATCCTCGTCATCCTCATCGAGAAGACCAGGAGGACCGCGAACAATCTTCAAAGTGGAACGGGAAGGCTTGCTCGAGTCCTGGTCATCCTCGTACTCTGGGGCCTCATCGGGGTCGATAGCGGCCATGCTGATGCGGAACTATATTTAATGTCAGCACAAGCTATTAGCCAATTGATGATTACAGTAAGACTGACCGAAGCAGCAGCGTTGGGGACTGCTTGGACCATCGCACCGGGAGGAACCCGGAGCGCATAGACTGCGACAGGCTGAACAGCAGACATTGTGAGTAAAATAAAGTGACGAAGGTGAAGAAGATCAAGTTCAAAAATAGAATGAACCACGTGGAAAAGGATGTGGATGGAAAGGAAAGAAAAGAGAAAAGAAAAGATGCTCCCAAGCAACAGATACGGCAAAAAAATTGGAGAAAAAAATATTGATCAATGAGATCAACTAACCGTTCACCGCTGGTGTATTGCCGTGAGTGACCGCTTCCTTGAAGCTTGGATCCACGTGATGGTTGCCAAGCTTCGCGCGAAAGGGCAACATCCTTTTCTTTACACTCTCTTCTTAGTCATGATGGTAGTTGTAGCCCAAAATGGGCTCCCGTCATGAGATCAACTCTAGTGCAGTGCGCAAACGCATTGAAAATCGTACGTTTAGTCTAAATATCAATTTCCACTTTTATCTGACCATGTCTAGATGAATTTGACGATGAAAGAGGAGAGGAGTATGAGGCCTCCAGCTTCGGCGGGTTTGGGGACTACATGCGCCGGAAAAAGATGAAGTTGCAGAATCTTGACGCAGAAATTCGAGCATCAGCTGGTGATTGCCCGCCAATATTCCGTGGTGTGGTTGCCCATATCAATGGGTACACTCAACCTTCCCTGCAAGAGCTGCACCGTTTGATTGTCAGCCATGGGGGTGGCTTCCTTCAATATCTGGATGGCAAGACAGCAGCTACTCATATCATTGCCACTGCTCTGACCCCCAAGAAGCGTGAAGAGTTCCGCCGCTACCGCATAGTGAAACCTACGTGGGTGACAGACAGTATCAAAGCAGGACGTCTGCTGCCATGGGATGAATTTAGAATAGTAGACGAGGGTGAAGCGCAAAGAGTGCTCAAGTTTGATAATGGCCGGTTTATCAGCCAGACGAATAGCCCTCGCGCACGTTACAATGACCAATCGAGGTCTAGCAGGTATAGCTTTCAGCTCAGAGATATGAGCACAACAGAAGAAGGGATCGGCTCTTCATCGAAGTCCGTGACTTCATCTATTCGGTCGAAAGCCTCACATATGATCACACCAACCATGCCGAGCCAGCCATCTCAGTCGGACTATGGCGACTTCCCTAGCTTCACTATGGAGAACGAGGAGGAATATCATGACCCTGAGCACGAACAAGCTCTAGCCAGTGACATAGCACAATCTATAATACCACATCAAACTCCCAATTCAGATCAAGTGCCCACTTCACCAGATCCACTGGTTGACCTCGAATCAACAACCTCGCCTCTCGACCAAACAAGTCCAACAAAACCCGCTTTAACTTCTGAAGAATACAATGCGCAGCTCCTGTCCGACCCAAGGATGCAGAAGTCATCTGTTGTCAATCCAGAATTCCTGCAGCAGTATTATAGGGAGTCTCGCCTGCATCATCTGTCAACCTGGAAGGCGGAGCTGAAAGCCCAACTGCAGGCCGCAACGCAAGAAAATGCACAGTCTCAGAGATTGAAAAAGAAACCTGTGCCTGGATCAAGACGGTACATTCTACACGTGGACTTCGACTCATTCTTTGCAGCTGTCTCAGTTCTAAATCATCCCGAGCTCCGGGGAAAGCCTGTTGCTATCGCCCATGGCTCTGGATCAGGCTCCGAGATTGCTAGTTGTAATTATCCTGCACGTGCTCGCGGCGTCAAGAATGGGATGTGGATGAAAGCTGCTTTGCAATCATGCCCCGATCTCAAAGTCCTACCTTATGATTTCCCTGCCTATGAAGAGGCGAGTCGCAAGTTCTACACCTCGATACTTGCCATCGATGGTATCGTGCAAAGTGTCAGTATCGACGAGGCTTTGATCGATGTCACAAATTTATGCGTGGAAGCAGGCGGCTCAGACGGAAAGGCTATATCAGAAGGATCAACCTATCGCGAGCAAGCCAAAGCGGATGAAATTGCGCAAAATTTACGCGATTCAATCAGAGAGAAGACCGGATGTGAAGTCTCTGTCGGAATTGGCAACAATATTCTTCTCGCAAAAGTGTCTCTTAGAAAGGCCAAGCCTGCTGGACAGTTCCAATTAAAGCCAGATGCTGTTTTGGACTTCATTGGAGATCTCACTGTTCGTGATCTTCCCGGAGTGGGTAATAGCATGGCAATTAAACTGGAAGAACTGAACGTCAAGTTTGTCAAAGACATCCGAGATCTCCCGAGAGAGAGACTAATATCTGGTCTGGGACCCAAAACTGGAATGAAATTGTGGGAATACGCCCGAGGAATCGACAGAACAGAAGTTGGCGATCAAACCACGAGGAAATCTGTTTCGGCCGAGGTCAACTGGGGGATTCGATTTGTCAATCAGGACCAAGCAGAGGACTTTGTGCGTTCTCTGTGCGAGGAGCTGAATCGAAGATTGACGGAAAATCTAGTGAAGGGGAAACAGCTCACTTTAAAGGTCATGCGTCGATCGCTAGACGCTCCACTAGAACCCGTCAAGCATCTCGGCCATGGAAAGTGTGATACATTCAACAAGAGCGTCGCTCTTGGTGTCGCGACCAATGTTCCAGAAGTCATTGGGAAAGAAGCAATATCGATGTTGAGAAGTTTCAATTTTTCACCTGGAGACTTGAGAGGTCTGGGTGTGCAAATGACCAAACTTGAATCAATCAAATCTGGCCCTTCAGGCCCCGAGAGCAGCCAGCGACAACTCAACTTCCAGAAGTCTCCGCCTCGCCAGAAAGTCATTCCAGATGCGGACCCTGACGAGCTAGAGAGTCCGCAAAAAGATAACTCTGTTCGTATTCAATCAGATCCAATACTCAGCGATAGTGCCCACAAGCCACTCAATATCTCGGGGACCCAATTTATTATGCCCACCCAAACGGATCCCAAAGTCGTTGCCGAGTTGCCTAGGGATATCAGATCAAGGCTTGTTGCACAAGCAAAGCCGCGCCAGGGTTCTCGCTCAGGGTCTCCATGTCCTCTTCCCCGTGAAGCACGACAACCTGCCCAAGCAGACCTCCCCCCTCAGTCTCAGCTGGACCCAGATGCATTGGCGGCATTGCCTGAAGATGTCCGCCAAGAAGTATTGGGTTATTATAACCACCCAGCTATCAACGCTGCGTCACCGCTCGTGCCGGTAGTACCAGAGTCGCGCCCATCAACATCTGGTTCTCTCAAGTCGAGAAGGCCAGTCTCACCACCCAAGAAAAGACGTGGCCGCCCGCCGAAGTCGGCAACGATTGCGAACAAGCCTAAGCCTAAGCCTCTAAACCAATTTAGCTTTGGGTTCGTTCTTCCACGCCCAGCAGCTGTATCTGCTAGTCTGGACGAAGAGGCTTTGTCTAGACAAGCGTCACCAAATGTTGAAGAGCCAACCCAACCTTCGGCTGAATTCCTTGCTGCTTTACCTGAAGATATCAGACAAGAGCTTCTTGAAGAACAAGAACGCACCCGCATGCAACAGCGCTCGCGAGCTACTGAAACCACACAAAGACCTCCATCTAGGGATCAGGAGGCTCCTCCTTCTGCGCCAATTGCCGTAGAGAAACTTCTACCTTTACCACCTCTCCCCAAGCGTCCCGTCTTTACATCACAACGTCTGTCCCAATTACCAGATCTACGAGATGCTGTTGGCTCATGGCATGAAGTCTTTGCAGCTGGCGGTCCGTACAGCGAAGACGTTACTTCACTATGTACATACCTGTCCAGCGTGACATTGCAAGAGAAAGATGTGGATAAGGCTGTTTCAGTGGTGCGCTGGTTGATGTGGTTGGTCGGTGAGCATTCGCAGCAGCAGGGGCCTAAAGAGCCACAGGGGTCTCGGCCCGAGGGAACTATAAGCTGGGAAGAGGCTATAGAGACCATGCAGAATAGTGTCCAGGTGGCTCTGGAACAAAGAGAGCTTCCCCCGGTGGACTTTTCGTAAATGATACCCAAATGTCAGACAAAACATCGTTGCCTGTATATATCTAAATGAGTCCAGAAAGGTCAACAATATATGTAAGATTTGTAAGATTTGTACAAATACGCTATATACAGTACACACCAAAGCCGAAAGATGTCACCTCTCCGGAGAAGGGAGAAAAATCGAAGAAAATCGAGGGTTGAAGATGATAGAAGATGAGGCAGATCAAGGTGGAGTCGTGGTAGCGTGGCATGCCCCATACGCAGGTGTATTGCCCCACATCTGTCACCTCCACCTCCGACTTCTACCCCGTGTCTTTGACCTTTCAGACAACAAACCCGTCATGCCGCCTGTCACCGATGGTCAGTTCTCCTTCAATATCGACACATTTTATGTCACCGCGTCGGGAGGACAGCTTCACCGCCGTGCAGCTCCAGCTGAGATCAAAGCTCTTTACGATACTGCGACTACCGACAAGAGCACACCAGACCACCCAGGCCATTGGTATGAAGCACAGCTCCTCCACTATGGCCTACCACCGTCAAAGGTCAAGGCGACTGCTAAGATGAGGCTCTTAAAGGCCGTGCAAGACGGCGCCCTGAGCGTTCCCAAGGAAAGCCTCCAAATCGAAAAGAATCTGAAGAAGGAATGGAAGAAGCAGGATTCGGAGGAACCAGCAAAGACCAACACGAAGACGACAACGACGAAGACTGTTACCACCAAGACTATTACGGTTTCTAAGACGGTTGCGTCCAAAACCACCGAGAACAAGACTACTGCGTCCAAAGCCGCGGCCAAGCCTGCAGCCGTCAAAACTGCGGCTCCCAAGGCTGCTACGTCCAAAGCTGCTATCCCCAAGAAAGATCCCGCACCCAAAGCCACTGCGGCTAAAACCGCTGCGGCCAAAGCTACCACGACCAAGGCTGCTCCTAAAGCCGCGGCCAAACCTGCTGCTGGCAAAACTGCAACTGCCAAGCCAGCTACGCCTAAGGCTGCCTCCAAGAAGGCTACGGCGCCCAAGGCCGCTGCCCCCAAAGACACGACAACCAAAAGTGCTACCTCTCAATCTGCCCCAGCCAAGAGAAAGAGGGCCTCGAATGCCGAGGAGACAGCCGACAAACCACAGACCGCCAAACGCCGCGTGTATGGCAAAAAGACCCAAGACAACACAAATATGCCCACAAACAGCTACCCCGGGCCGAGTGGATGGTCTGAGCAGCCTGAGCATCAGGATGCGCCTCCCTCGTACGAAATCGCCTGCAGAATGGTAAATATATTCTCCCTCATTCACAAACGCAATGGATACTTACCTAACATGTCTAATTAGGACGGAGAACATCACTATGATGCTTTAGATGACCAGATGGACATTGACGGTCCGAACGAGTTTGGTTATGGCCATTATAGCGAGTCTGAAACATGCTCAGAGCCACCATCTCCACCTCGAGCCCTGAAAAACACCCTGGGTCTTCTCAATGGAACGTACGAAGTTAGTTCCCCCCATATCGAGTGCGAGTGGCCGGACGCTGTTCGCGGGGGGATCTTCTTATCTCTTCGCCTTAATCGGAATGAGATTTGGGGGACATACGAGCTCGGGGCGTTTAAGGGTGTACTGTGGATGCCACAACGACCCATGAGGCCCTCCTTTGACAGAATTCCGTTTAAGTGGCGTGGGCGGGAGACCGGTGAGGGTGAGATGAGCTTTGCAGATGACCAGGATGGTTGGATTGAGTTTTTGGGTGATGGTGATATTGTTGGGATGATCAGCTGCTATGGTGATGTCCATTTCCGAGGGCAGCGGATTGATAGTTCTGTCCGCACAGCCAGTGATCTGCGGAACGAATGGAATCGCTACAACGAAGAGGAATATGACCGAGAGTGCAGGAGTCGATGGTGAATGATCCTGAACTGAATGAAGGCATGGGGTCCAGCGAAAACCAGTGCTAGCTTATGGATATCTTGATTAAATGATGCCCAAGTGGTCTATTTGACCCTAGTTCAAGGTAGTAAGTCAAAATCCTCCCTGGATGGCCGAGTGGGTGAGAGACACGAAGTCATCTGATTGCTGGGTGAAACATTGATCACGGGTGATACCGCATTGGGAAACCCAGCAATGGGGAAACTGGTCAGGGTTTCGATCCTCGCCAGAAGTAGTTGGGGCACGGATTTCCTTTTTTGTTCCTTCTCCATGTCAGCCCTTCACCCTTCCTTCCACTTATCTCGTGATACAGCGGTGAAATAGCTCTTTCTAACAGGATATTCTGATATCATGGAATGATCATTGCCTTTTGTTTGTGTTCAATTGGACCCGTCTCAGGGAAGTCACGATGTTCTCATGCACTTGGCACTGGGGGTTACAATCAACCCACTCTGTCGGTACCAATGTCTTTTGCTATATAAATTGATGAGCATTATATTCCCACCACCGACTAATGTTTTATATACAGGCCCACACCCAAATCTAGACCATTTGCGAGCCTATCAGCGAAAGAATTCGACAGTCCAGCTTGCGACAGAACACTTATTCCAGAGCATCTATGCCCGCAGCTTTAGGCCCAGGCACCGACGATGCTCATGCAAAAAGCACCCGAAAAAACCAGGATGCAGGCATAAACCCTTCTCTTCCCACGGAGAATACGCCAGCTCTCATCACTGAGAAAGTCTTCCGACATCAACTCCACCAGCGAGGCAAAAATCAAAAGTCCAGCTGACATGGCATTCATAACACCGACAACGAGCAAACCAACCTCCGAGTCGGGATTATAAAGTGTATGGGTTGCGAGGCCAATAGCTTGCCCGATTGGAGTCCTAGTATTTTGTCAGCACCATTGGGCCCAGAGTGAGTGGGGATTAACTCACGTGCATCCGTACGCAAGGGACATGATCCAGGGCTGGAGTTGCTTTTCTGACCAGGGAAGTGAGGCAATGCGGGATCCAAGCGCCAGGCCTTCAAATGTTTCTGTGGTTGATTTAGTCAAATTCATTGGCCCGATCAAGCAGGCGAATACAGAGAACTCACGATGAAATACAATTGCAATGAGCAGAATCACAAATTCACTGCCAACCGACACACTGAGTGACATGCCGATAAACACGCTGTGGAAAAGAATACCCATTTCAAGAAGGTAGACCTGCATGGTCTCTTTCTTCTGCTTCTGCTCCGGGGTTAAGGCGAAGGTATCGTCGTGACGCTCCACGTCTGTCTGGATAGCCCCGTTATCTTTCTCGTGGTGAGTTGGAACATCAGGCGCAGATGAAACTCGAACTATATCTTCAGTCCCTTCGCCCATTCTATTGATCGCTCGGCTTATGCTCGCGGACCTTCCAATTAGCGGACCCATATCTCGCAAATGCCGGCCTTCCATTCCAACGGAGTGCGAGCGCGGCACTATAGAGTGGTCGAGATACTCAGGAACACCGAGAGTTGGAATTGGAGGTGTCCTTGCATCCGAAGGGCAGGGAGCTGGCCTTTCGGCTGGGACCTGGTTTCCTCCACGGCAGATACTCTGGGCTGGACTGAATACCATTTCGATGACTGTAACGAGAAATATGCCACCCAAGGCAATGGCACCCGGCATGGCTGGGTAGTCCTTTGTCCAGAAATTAGAGAGACATGGGTCGCCCAGCGAAGTAAATGCCGTCGGAAGGAGATGTACAAATGCCGTGGCGACGAGGACACCCGTTCCAAAATGGGTGACGAAGAAAAGGAACGCAGGTGGAATATGCATTCGTGGAAAGCGAGTTGCAAGGATAGGGAATGCACATGCAATGCTTGAGGTGGCCAGGATGATGAAGAGGGCTGCAACGTGCAAAGGTAGGTCGTATGCACCGCCGTCACCTCCCTGAGCACAACTTGATCGTTTGGCTGGCTCTGTAAACGGCATTGCAACAGGTGCTTCCAGTGTGAGAGCTTGCTTTGGCGTTAAGTACCGTCTCAGATTATCGAAGGAGATGACTGCCGAGACAAGAAGCACGGAGAGGAGCCACAACGCCCAATCCTTGATACTCTGATATGATGGGAAAACATTGGTATTTGAATCCAATCCATTGTGATTGATTTCGATATTAGTATTTTTGGGAGCGAGGCGTCCTGTTCACTGGTTAGAAGGTTATTACTCAAAAAAACATGCTTGCTTTTCATACCTGACATTGTCAGGGACGCCTCGCACCCCGCGCCAAGGTGATTGCCTGCATCCTTTTCCTCCAGCGTAGGAATTACCTTGCAATTGGAGCTTCCCCGTAAAGTACCCGGACCAGACTCATCGTCTTTCTTCTCGCGGGTGTTTGAGATGCCATCGAGGTCTTGGCGGGTAGTCAGGTCGGGAGAAAGGAAGCGCGGGCTCTGGTTCCACCCATCGTGCAGCAAAGTGTCGTCAGTCCGAGATGGGCAGTTCATGGTGCTATTTGAATGATGTTTCTGACTTCACTATCTGGATTCAGTGTAACAGGTGAAAATTATAGCCAGCACTGATCCCGAGAGCTTGGCATGGGGTGGACTCCGTCCCGACTTTTCTTGGCAGTCGGCTATGAAATCATTGCGGCTCAGGCAACCTCCGGTATTGGCCGAACTACGATTACCGGAGACAATATGCTTGCGTTGCAAGGCCTGAGAACTCCATGACGTGAAACCGAGGTCACTAGAATGTGTCCCAGAACGATAGGTCTAGCGAGGTTCAAGTTTGATCCAAGACTACTAATGGACTGGCAGGACCTCTAGAGAAACAGCCCTGGAGGGTCAATGTAGGGTTGATAGGTGCCTGCAAATTGATACAGGAACTAGTTATTACAGGAGCACAACAGTGCACATTGATATTCGTGTTCTTTTTCTTATGGTCATTTTGCCCAGGGAGCCTTGGTATGCACATTGGCACTTCCATCCTGTGAAGCCGGGGGCCGAGACTGAGCAGAAAAGGGTGCTCTGACGGGTGACATGGGACCTGGAGGCATCCTTGAAGTATCTGGAAGAGCAGAGGGAACTCTGGTCGTACCACTGGGAATTCCCTCTCTTCTCATCCCAGCCCACGGGGCTGCTGTCGAGCCCATCGGGGGAACAGCTTGCGTGCCTGTCCCGGACTTAGCCCAGGGAGCCTGGGTGCCAGCTCCGGGCATAGAACGGGTAGCGGCAACAGACGGGTGGCCAGAATCCGGCGCAATGGGGCGTGACTGAGGACCAGATGTGGCATGAACCGTGGAGGGGGGCACAGGCGCATTTGGATCATGGTCCCAACTGAACAGAGATCCGAAAGGGAAGTGCTGTACCACGGGGAATTTTGAAAGAACTTCCGCATTGTACATCTTGATCATTCCCTGGTGCAACATGTCAGCGTGAACATCCCCACTGCTTAAAGATTGCGAACCTTATTGATCTTTCCCCAGCCAGCTCGAATGCCAGAAATATCGAATAACATGGGGCTGTGCTCCCAGAATGGGCCTCTCTTCACATCATAAATAAATCCAATAGCGGAGAAATATAGATTACTTTGGCGTTCTCTTTCAACAATCTTTGCATTGGCTACCCCGGCTGGGTCAGGTGCATTAAGTAGTGAGCCTTCTTCAGGAGTTAGGTCAGTATCGTTGATTGCAGGCGATAATTGTGCGGATCCAAAGATATAAGGGACAAAGGAATGATCATCAAGACCCCAGACGCCGTGGGAGCCAGCAGGCTCTAGGTTGTATGTCTTGATAAGTAGTCTGATAAGCTCTAGGTATCTATATGACGACAGTCAGTAGGGGACGAAGCATATCTGACGTGTTAGATTCTGGGTAGACGCACGGATGGATCACTCCAACCACGATAGCTCGTTCCTCCACACCTGGATCGGCCTTGGGAAATCCATTCAGCTTCCATATTCCACCTAGGAAAGCTAGGAAGCTGAGTTCATGACCGGTACCATAGTCCAACCGCTGGCCACTTCCCCAGCTACCCAAGAAATATGATTTCAACTCGGTCTCCGCCGTTGCGCTCTCACCCGATGATCCCCTATCCAAGAGGTCGGCGGGTAGGCATTCCCTCAGCAGGTCGGATGCGCGACTTTCGACCACCTCAGACCATCTCCGGAAGCTTATATTTCCAAACCTCCGCGGACCAGTATCTGGTGGGACCTCCTGTATGATATCTTCTAGTTTCAAGAGAAGTCCCTGCAATTGTCGGACCGGAGCGGAGTATTGTATCGCATCGCTATTGAGAGTCCAAGTTTGTATAGTGTCATCGGCAAGCTTCAGTGGAAACATAGATCGGTTGAGTTGTAGTATCCACGTCATAATATCAGTATAGGCTTTGGATGTCAGGAAAGCCGATACATCTTGCGAGTCGTGAATTTTTTTGTTCGGTTCGATAAATACGTGCTCTGCAGAGTCCAAAGTGGCCAAAACACGAATAGCCTGGGCGTAAGCCATGTTTGCTGAGAAAATCCGAGGTCGGAGTGGGATGAGGAAAGAAAGTTGGAGGGGAAGCGGGATGTTATTTGCGGCTCCACCAGAGCTCTTCCCTCACCGCGTGTTGTCATTCTTTTGAATTCCCCACGCGTTTTTGAAGATGGCGCCAAAAAGATCCACACATCGGCATCGATCTACCGATTATACTCTTGGACTCTTGAATAATATCAATGTCCTCCGGCGCAATTCCACGGATATACAGGACCCTAAAAGGCGCCGCCGCACCACCGACACGGATGTCTATGATGTTCCTCTCTCCCCTTCTCCGACAAGAACTCGAAAGACCCCTCAAACTGAACCGAAAAATACCAACCGGTTGAGTCTGAGAACCCGTAAAGTGCCTAGGCCATCACCACCGGTTTCACCCCCCAGCGTTTCTGAAAACAACGAAGACAAAGGGCCCAGCAACGACGAATCCGGGTCAGGCGATGACGAGTCCAAATCAATTCAAAATGGATCCGGCAGCAGTTTAAAGGAGGAACTGGATGATAACCGCGACGAGCTTCAGCCTGAGGTTGAACATGATCCGTTACCCGAACCAGTCGATCTGTTCCCAGCCGAAGACGAGGATCGAGCTGATGGTCAGGTTGGTTACGAAGCTAGAAGTGCACAACAAGATGTATCCGGGGATGGATCTGGATCTGAAGGAGAAGAAGAGAAGGACAACCAGCCTAAAGAGAAATCTAGAGATGCACAAGACAATCCATCTGAGGACGAATCCGAAGATGAAGATGATGAGGAGACGGATGCTCATGCTGGGGAGGAAGTCATAGACGCAGAAGACAATCTATCTGAAAAGGATCCGGAATATGAAGATGAAGATGATGATGAAGAAGAAGAAGAAGAAGAAGAAGAAGAAGAAGAAGAGGCAGATGATAATTCTCCCGCCGAAGTCCAGAATCATTCAATACCGACCCAGCATATTGCAAATGCAGACACACCCGACGTGCAAATCCCCGAAAGTATACCAAGAAACCAAGGAGATGGCGCACATGTAAGTCGCATGTCAAAAAATACTCAAGGATTCCAGAATGCCTCGTCACAGCTTTTGGAAGTACCAGAATCACCAACAATCGAGCCATCGCGCCCAAATCAGGACCATCGCAGCGCTCGCTCCGATATCTTCACGTGGCTGACCGAGACCACGAAAGAATCTGGTTTCAAGGAGACCTGGGACGAACTTCGCAAGATAAGAAAAATTCTTAAGGCCCAAGCTGCTCCCGCTACAAAAGAGCATTTCATGGGCATCGTAAAGCTCATTCAGCGGCTACGAGGTGTGTTTGCAACAATGATCAATGATCCTGCTTCAGCTTCTTCCTTGAGAAACCAGTGCAGGCTCATCGCCAACAGCATCTTCAAAGAGAATCAGTGGATCATTTACACCGAAGCCCCAGAGAATGAAGATGATGGTGCCCAACTGGTCAATCAGCTCGAAGCCCATATTGTTCCCCGACTGATTGACCTGGTCATACTTGGATTCAAGACCTACAGGACATTACATGATCGGGTGGCGCCACATTTCCGCATTATCCTGGATTTGCTTTGGGGTTCCTGTGATAGGATATCTTCTCTCGTCGAGGTGAATTATGATATTAGTGCGGGCGTGGTGGCTCATTCTAAAAGAGCGATGCGACACGTGAAGGCTCTAAAGGATGCACTGAAAGATGGCCGACTACGTGAGACACCTCATCGCATGCCCCAACGCCATCTACCATATCGGCCCTTTGAGTTGGAAGAGGTCGATAGCCATATCTCCTGTGGACGGTGGATCCATGTAGAGACGAATGCACTCCGTGATGGTTTACAATTATATGAGGGTAAGACTTTTCATTTCTCATGCCATATGCTATTCTGATGGTGTCAACAGGGGAAGATCGATATATTGATATGAAGTGTGACAACGCAATCGGCGGTCAACTATCCGAGCGCATCCTGCAACATATCCATGGCCAAGCCGTCAAACTCGGGTTGGATGATCCATGACCTAATTGAGAATTGGGAGAGACTAGATCGGGGGTGATATTAGCGGCATTGTATAGTAGGCTCGATTTCAATACCCTTTTGCGAGACTGGAGTTCATAGAGACCAAAAGTGTCGATGTATATATTTGGCCGAGGTATTCATGTGGGGTCGGCCCGCGAACCACAAACCGCGAACCACAGGCATTGTCTTGAACATCCATGGATGTCAAATATCATGTCCACATTGAATACAGTATACCCGGAAGCTTTATTATCCTTCCTACGAGCGACAATATAGATATTTTGGTAAAATTTGCGGATAGGTTTAATATTTGTGAGCTACTCAGGGCTGGTTTTGCATCAGGAGGAATTTCGTCCTTGGGCTCCTGATCCTGTGTCTTAGACATCTTGGGTACCTACATGTACATAGCCTGGTACTTTAAGGAGACTTCTAGGACTTAGGGAGCTATTATAATGCGTACATATGTAGGTGCAAAGCTCCAAAGCTACAAGACAAATACTATAGAGCAAAAATGAACATAATTAGTCTGATCTTGGACCCGGTCAAAGCCAGCCTATATTAACTGTATTCTGATCATCTAGATAAAGACAGAGACAATCTAAGCAGATCCCCCGGATGCACGACCCATGTAGGGGGTCTATAAAGAAAGGCTCCAAAGTATAGAGCAGCGGCGATCCCCCCCCTCCTAAATTGACACCGCTTTCTCTTTTTCCCGCTTTCCCCTTTTCTCCCCCAAAGCATCCTGACAACATTTGCTTTTGTCGGTTTATTTCCTCTTTTTTTAAAAAAAAACTGTGCTGGACTTCTCTGGGTCTGGAGATCAGTCTTCAAGTAATTGTGAAGATTTCCCTTTGGAACGGTTGTGCGGCGCGTGAGTACATTCTTCTCTTTTCTGCATGTTTGTTTATAGACGGGAGCTTCGGTCGAGCTGGACAATGACCCAGTTCTGCCATGGGCATAGCTGGAATACCTTGAACGACTGGGGCAAAAAGATTTCATGCTTATGCCCAGCGCGCTATAAGCCCCTGACCTGGCCATTACAGTTGCATCGATTCGAGCGCTTGAATCTGGGGTTGCGACTCCGAGCATACCAGCTGGATAATTATGCGTTTAGGGGTATAACAGCTGACAACGCTTTTCGCAGACAGCTTACTGGTACATGCCAACTAAACCTTACCACGAAGCTTGCCCCCTTTAATACATTAATCTTGAACAATCCACCGATATGTCGTCAAACGAACCGGTCGTCGCCCCTGCTCCTGTGGAGGTCGATGAGAATGAGCCCCCAGCCACCCCGATAGATTCGAGCATCGTCTCTGAAAGCGACGAGTTGCTTAAGCCCAGCCCCGAAGTATCCAAGGAAAGCCGTGCGATCTCTCCGGCCAAGGCTAGCCCTGATACACCGAGCACCGAGAAGCGTCCTGTGTCTGGCGCATCCACCACCAAACGGCCCACCTCATCCTCCGCCTCGAAACCTACGACGGGTACCACCCGACCGACCTCCGGCACTCTGAACAAACCTCCCACTCGTCCCCCGGCCACGACAACCACCCGGAAGCAACTGAGCACCTCGACTGTCTCGTCCCACCGGTCTCACAAGTCAGTCAGCAGCTCTGCAGATGAGAAGCCTCGGTCTGTGGCGAGCTCAGGAGATGAGAGGCGCGGAATCTCTGGATCTGCGAAGCGCATGTCTATGGCCGGTACAGCCTCGACCCGCGCTCCTCTCAAACCCACCTCGTCTTTCGATCGTAGATCGAGCGTTGCAGGCCCCACTGCCGAGAGGAAGCCCGCCACCACAAGTGCGCGCACCGCGACCGCGACCTCTACAAGCAAGCCCGTGGGCAGGCTGACTTCGACGACGACACCTGCAAGCCGGACTGCTACTTCTACCTCCACCGCTAGACCTGCTACTGTTCGGCCACCCTCGACTACGAGCACCGCTAGGCCTGTCACTGCCACCGACTCCAAGAAGCGATTGAGTACGCTTCCTGGGTCAATTGGCCGTGCTGGTGATTCTGAGAAGCTGCAGGCCCTCCAGACTAAGCTCGCCGAGAGCGAGGAGACCGTCGCTAGTCTGAAGTCTGAATTGGAGACTGTCAATGAGAAGCTCAGCCAGCTTTCTGTCTCGGCCCAAGAACCCCTGGGTGATACTGGTGCCACCGAGGCCATTCGCGCGGATCACGCCGCAGAGATTGAGAAATTGACATCAGCCCATGCCGACGAGCTCCAGGCCCTGCAAGCGCGACTAGACGAAGCCGAGTCCCAACGGAAAGAACTGGAGAAGAGCTCGCAAAAGGAGTTGGAGGAAGCCAGACAATCCGCCGCGGCGCAAGGGGATGACAGGACAGTTGCCCTGCTTGACGAGCTCAAGGCAACACATCAAACCCAGCTTGAGGCCATCGAAAAAGAGCTGGCAGAGCACAAGTCTGCAGCTACTCACTTCGAGGAGCAGATCGGTGCTCTGAAGAAGGAACTCGAGTTTCAAAAGCTTGCTCTGGAAGAAGAAAAAGCTCTAGAGCTCGAAAACTTCAACCGAGAACTCAAGGGCCGTGATCAGGTGTTAGAAAATCTTAACACGGAGATTGCTAAGCTGACTACACTCAAGGAGCAAGAGGTCCGTGCTGCGGAAGAGTCTGCTAAGGAGAGTGTTTCTGGTCTTCAAGAGCAAGTAGCCGCACTCGAGGCGAAGCTTGCTGCGGCTGAGTCTGCTACACAGGAAAGCTCCGAGGAGAACCCTTTGATCGCCGAGAAGGATCAAGAAATCACCGAGCTTAAGCAGGCCCTTGAGAAAATTCAAAGTGAGCTCCAGGAGGCACGTGACGCCGCGGCCACTGAATTGTCATCGAAGGTTGTGGAGTTAGAGACTGCCCATGAGGCTGCTATCGCAAGCCTCAAGGCCGAACATGAAAGTGCTATCAGTGAGATTTCGGCTTCCCACGCGGAAAAACTCACTAGTGCCATAGCGGCGGCGGAATCGAGCGGGGCAGAACACACCACGCAAATCCAGGAACTCCGTGATGCCCTCGAGGCGTCCAAGGCCACTGCCCAGAAAGGACAAGAAGATGCCGTTGCTGAACTGAAGGCCGCACATGATGCAGAACTCAAATCGCTACAGGAACAGCTGGAGGCTTCCGAGAATGCCCTCAGTGAGTCCCGCCGTGCACTGGATGAGGGTAATGCCTCCGCACAAGATGTTGCCATCCAAGAGATTGACGCTCTTCGACAAAAGTGTGAGTCGCTGGAATCACAACTGACCACTGGCACTGGGAAAATCAATGCGCTGCTCGAAGAAATGCAGCTCAAGCAAGCTGAAGTCGAAAAGATCTCCCGCACTCTACGGGATAATGAAGATCACTCCAAGCAAGAAGGTTTACAGAAGGACAATAAGATGAAGGCTCTGGAGCAGAAGGCTGCAGAAGCTGTTGTGCTTCTCGAACAACACACCTTGCAGGCTGCGGATGTGGCTGAGAAGCACGCAAAGGCCCTCGAAGAGTTGAAAGCTGAACATGCTGCTCAGCTTGAATCCGAATTAGAGCGGGTCAAGGAGGCATCGGGATCTAATGAAAGCGCTCTGAGTGATCTTCAGACGAAGCACACAAAGGCTCTGGAAGAATTGAAGGCTGAACATGCTGCTCAGCTTGCATCCGAATTAGAGCGGGTCAAGGAGGCATCGGGATCCAATGAAAGCGCTCTGAGTGATCTTCAGACGAAGCACGATGAGTTGCTTGCCACAAACAAGGAATTAGAGTCTACCCACGCTACCCGGATTCAGTCGCTTGAAGCTGATTTGAGGGCGGTGATCGAAAACCACGCTCTTGAGATTGCTACCCACACCGAGGGTCGCGAAAAGGAGACCGCCGAACTCCAAAATCAATTCGAAGAAACCCAGGCGAAGTTGCAAGCCGAGATTTCCGCTTTGCAGAGTTCCAGCAAAGCTGATGCCGAGCTTCACAAGCAGCAAATCGCCGAACTGCAAAAAGGCTTTGAAGAGGCCAAAACCCAGCTGCGGGCTGAGATCGAGGCTGCCCAAACCTCCAAGGCTGCTGAAATCGATGCTGAGCACAACAAGGCAATTGCCGAACTGCTGCAGGGATTTGAAAAGACCAAAGCTCAGCTGCAGGTTGAGATTGAGGCTGCCAAGGCCTCCAGGGCCACTGACCTCGATGCTGAGCACAACAAGGCCATTGCCGAACTGCTGGAGGGCTTCGAACAGACCAAAGCCAAGCTGCAGGTTGAGATTGAGGCTGTTCATACCTCCAAGGCTGCTGAAATCGATGCCGAGCACGGAAAGGCGATCGAGCAGCTTCTAACTATGAGCGAGGCTAAGCTGTCTGGCCTCAGGGAGGAGTTCGAGGCTTCTAATAATACCAAGATTGCCGATCTCCAGAAGGCCCACGATGCAGCACTAGCCAGTGTCAACGAGCAGTTGTCTCAGGCCAAGGCCGCTGCCCAAGACACCTCCGTTCTGGATGACTTAAAGGCCACAGTCGCCGATCTGCAGGCCAAGCTTGCTGATTCTGAGAAGGCTCGCCTTGCGGTACAGGAATCTGCCACCACTTCTTCCAAGGAAATTGAGGGTTACTCAGCTGAGCTCGCCAAGATCCAGGCCGACCATGCTGCACTTGGAGAGAAATACCAAGCCGCGGTCGCCCAGGTGGGTGAACTCGAGAGACTTGCCAAGGACTCAGACAGCCAGAAGTCGCACCTTGAGTCGATTATGAAGCAGCTCTCTGAATCCCGCGACCAGCTCCTCAAGGCCAAGGCCGATAACGCCGCCATCTCCGACTCGCTCGTTGATTGCAGGAACCAAAACAAGACCTTGTCCGAGAAGCTTGAAGCTGGCGAACGTGACCTGAACGATCAGATCGACAAGAACATGGGTCTCCTCAACCAGCTTGGCGACGTTGATTCCGCTATCTCTGCCAGCCGCCGACGGGTCCGCGAACTCGAAACCGAGCTCGCAGTTCTGAAGGCGGACAGTGGCGAGAAGAGCAGCTCTTCGGGCTTGGACGCTAGCCGGTGGGCGACAGCTGATGAGGGTAGCGACAACGCTGAAGATGGGGGTCCAGCCACAACGGAAGGTGAGGACCTAGGCCCATCCATTGAGGGAACGGTGGGAGATCCCCGATTGAAGAAGTCTTCCTACTCATCAGATCTTCCCGCATTCCACCCATTCACATGATTATGAAGACTATTCAGCGTATACAGAGGACTAATACATTCCATAGATGGCCAGCCTGCAAGAACAGCTTAGGCACATCCGAACAGCCAGTGAGGATTGGTACAGCGAGCACCACAGGTCAGTCAAATATGCGCTCGTATTGAAAATCATGCTGATCCCTCCAGACTCATTGCCGAACTTGCTCAACTCCGCCGGCAAGCATCCTCCGACTCTCCCAGCCCTTCGACCACACCCAATTCCGAAGTCCCACCAGCCCCCGAGCCAGAACCTTCTCGCACCCGCGCCGCAACAGTCTCATTTTTCGGGAGACGCTAAGTTTCGCGTGGATATGGCACCTTTCTGAGCTCTTAGTCGTGATGCAGCACGACTTAATCTTGAATCCTGTTTCACTCTGCTCTTGTGATTCTACTGTATGTAATAACTACGCAGGATACCCTGTCTTACTATGTCGGGGTTTCCCACTATTCTTGTTTCAATATCTTTATCTTACACATACAACTTGTTTGAGTTGAACTTTGTGTCATCCGTCTTGCGTTACTGCAATGGTCAGATTAGTACTTACTAGCGAGAGATGCGTAAGTGTTCGATGCTTGGTCCAAGAATGCAGGAATGGATAATTCAAGCGCAATGATCGAAAGTCTAGAACAAAGTGGGTATCTCAATATAAAACAATAAAGTTCAAAGAACGCCTTTCCCCATGCCCCGAAATAGTGCGCAAAGGTGAATTCAAAATCACTCCGAGTCGGAAGGGTAGCTGACCAGCGCTGATGTCGGCGCCACGGCAGAGGAATTGACTTCTGTGCCACTGTGGTCTTCACGGAGGGATGGAGTCGAAGAGGTGGCAACTTTCCTCTTCTTGATGCTAGGCTGCCATGCATTCTGATTATCTGCATCATTCACCAAGAACGGATCAATCATAGCACGAGTATTCCCAACCAGCTCACGGTGTAGAGAAGCTTTCCGCGTCGCAACCAAGTCATCCTTCTTAAGTCGCTTCGAAGAACGAGATTTCTTCTCTTCCGGCCGCGTCTTTGGTGCAGGCTTTTCCGCCCGCTGCTCAAACATAGGCTGAAGACGAGTCATACGGGCAGCACGCACAGCCGGGTCCTCGCCAAACTCCACCATGCTCGCTCTCTGCCGATCCCCCTCAGTCTCATCCAAAAGCTCAATCCCAAGACTCATTTTATCCTTGAGGGCCTCCGTCTTCGCCTTAGTCTTCTCAAGCCCCTTCCTTTGCTGCCGAAACGTCCTCCGCAACCGCATCGACTTCTCATACGGATCCTCCCAATCGCGATTCTGCCGTTCCTGAAGCTCAATAATACGAGTCGCCTCCGTCCGCGCACGAATCTTATCCTCAACCTTACCCTCGATCTTCGAAAAAGGATCCTTCTCCGCGGGATCCATCTCTCGCGCGTACGGCTTGATAGCAATCTCCCCAGGCTGCAGCTCCTTATCCTCGCCAGTATCACGTTTCCGCCCACCCTCGGTAACGACATACGCCGTGTTCTGGGGATCGGTCTTGATCTCGATGGTCCCGCCACATACGGTGTGTTTCATGCGGAAGCTGTATATCGGCGTCGAGTAGTAGTTGCCTACTTTTTTCTTCTCTGCGTTGAAGCGCACGCCCTGGCCGATTATTACGGGGTGCGGTTTGCACGTTGTGCACCATACTGCGAAGGGCATCTCGAAGCGCACGATTAGCGCGCCTGTTGTGTGCAGGTGGCGGGCGCGCGCGCCGAGTGCGTGCTTCCCTGCGAGTTTGTTTCCGGTTGTTAGGCCTTCTTGGTCTGGGGGGACATAGCTGGTGGAAATGTGAGCTGGGGGTTATGTGGATTTGGATGTTTTGCTGACCGTCCCATATCTATTGAGGTGGCATGTTAGTTGGTTGTTTCGTATGTTCTTTGGGGTGGGATTAGGACTTACTGAAGCCTTGCATCTTGGGCGAGTTGGGTAGGTGTTGCCGTCAGTGTAATTGAAGCTTAGAGAGTGTACAGGTTACTGGCCGCGCGAAGACAGCCAGTCCGAGTTGATAGTGTTGTAGAAGCGAAGTTGTCGGCGGAACTGACTTTAGTCGGAGATAGCGGGATTAAGACGGGTGCGGATGACTCATCATTTATTTTTGCATGTATACTTGAAGACATCACCAGAAACAAAACAAACCGACCATTCAACAAAGTAGATCAAAGAAAGATTTATCAGGCTAATCAACCATAACGCTTGATATAATGGTACACTGAAATATACCGACATACATCGACCTCATTCTTACAGCATGAACCCATACTTCGTCATACATTCTTATGAATAACTTTTTCGTTACCCAATTTTGCTAAACTATTTAGATAGGGTTTCTGGGCTGATTCAAGAATCAGATTTGCATTTCCTTTTCTATTCCTCCTTTCTTGCGAGGCCTCCGTTTTTAGTAACATCTATCGCATCCAGTCGCCCGAAGCCTTCTCGGAAAATGGACCAAGGCACGCGCAAAGAGACAGAGCGGCTGATCTTGGAGCTGCTATTGGAAGACGTGAACAGCAATATCCATAGGCTCGGAGAACAGCCATTGCCGAAGGATACAACTCACCCGACCTACAGACTAGAAGAACTAGAGCCTGACAGGAGGGTGGCACTTCATATATGGAAATCCGAAATCGAAAGACAAAGGGTCACATTGAGATATTCTCAGATGGCTAAAGCTCTATCCCCAGGAAGGGAGGTGAAGGAGACACAATTTCCCAAGGGAACGAAGACATTTTCCAAACATACCTCCACCGCTATTCAGAAGCTGGTTCGCTTTTTCAAGAACCTCATGCGATCTATCAAAGCCCTGATTCCCGCCCACTTCTCACTGCCCCAGGTCTGCAGCTCCTGTAGAGAAGTCCACAGCGAAATCTTCAAAACACAATGCTCCCACTTCTATTGCAAGAATTGCTTGATCCGCATGGTCACAAAATCTTTAGTAGTTGAATCCTTGTTCTCTCTACAATGCTGCCACAAGAAAATCGAAGGCTCGGAAATGAAGAAGATGATAGGGTCCGCATTGGCCCAAGAACAAAGGAAGAGGCAAACCGAGCTCAGCGATCCAGACCGAACCTATTGTTCGGATTGCACATGCTCTCGATATATCTCGCCAGCGAATAAATCTTGGCCAGATTTGATCTTTAAACCGGCTTTAACCTGCAAGTGTGGTGTACGCACGTGCAGGGTATGCAAGAAGAGTGCTCACGAGGGCAAGTGTCTACCTCAGCTAGACTGGTTGATGGAGAAATTGATGAACAAGAAGATTTGGAAGCGATGTACTAAATGCAGCCGTGTGATTGAGCTTAAAGAGGGCTGTCCTCATATCATGTAAGTGGTTCTTTGGCCCTTTATCGACCCTCTAAGCTATTTACGGGGACTTTTAATGACACCTGACAGTTGTATTTGCAGAGCCCAATGGTGCTACCACTGCGGGAAGAAATGGAAAACTTGCGACTGTCCGAAATAGGGATGAGAATCAATTCAAAAAATTGATTTTTATCACTCCAACCGATTCATCAAGACCGACCATGTGGATAATACACTGGTTATTCTGACTGAACTTGGCCCGGAGAGTAAAATATATGACCTGAGTACGCTTGGCTTGGAGGATTCTGATGATATATGAAATTGCTCAACTACTTATATGTGAGTAATGTGGTGTTGCCTTCTTTCGCTCAAGGTAAGCTAATTGATACTTCCATATTGCTATACAAGCGAAAATCGAGACACGTACATAATTTCAGAGTCATGCGTAGTATATGCATATTAGGCACTGTATAAGCTCCGATAGTTCCTTGGAAGCTAGATTTTAGATACTAAAAGAGCGTATTATTTGTGCTGTATGGAGGCCTTGCTTTTCGGGCATTCGCATGGGTATACGTAGTATCAACCTCACCACCAACTCTCTTTTGCCAAAAGAGGGTTATTTATTTTCATAACACATCTCTTACTCTGGACCCCTCCATCACGTGGGCTACGATACGGATCAGGATACGCAGTCTCTAAGTCTTACAGCTATTATTGGTGGACAGAACGAGGAGACGAACGAACCAAAGAAATAATAAACAAGATAGGGAGTCACGTTCATGAGATACCGAAAGAATATGGGCACGGCCATTTCAATGGGACTAGGGTTAGAGACAGAAGATCACTTGGCCAAGTATAAGAAGAAAAGACCCTCTTCCAATTCATTCTCTGTCGAGATTCGGCAAACTGGCGATTCCATTGAAAATGCCATCAGCTTGACCGACACCCCCAAAGTTGAGATTTGGCGTGAATGTGTCTCCTGCCGGGACGATCATCTCCAAGACAAAATGCTCAAGACAAAATGCTCGCACTTCTATTGCAAGGGTTGCTTGGTTCGCCTGTTCAAAAATGCTTTGCGTGATGAATCCTTATTCCCTCCTCGATGCTGCCGCAATCCAATTACGGCCTCGAAGACGATTCTCGGATCCGCATTGGTTCAACAGCACAAAGACAAGGTGATTGAGCTCAATGACCCCGACAGGACATATTGTTCTGATTTGAAGTGCGCCCGATACCTCCCACGAAATGGCACGCGAGCTAAGGTTTGCAAATGCGCGAGCTGTGGAGTACGCACATGCAGGAAATGCAAAAAAAGCGCCCACGATGGACCCTGTCTATACAAGCTTGATGCGCTTTTGGAGGAATTGGCGGATTGCAAGCAATGGCAACGATGCTCCAAATGCAGCCGTCTGGTCGAGCTCAGAACAGGCTGTAATCACATCACGTAAGGGCGATTTCATTTATCATTGATTACTCTCTTCGCTGTCTTCCACTGTGGGAGCGTTTGGACTCACATCTACTAGGTGCTTTTGCAAGTTCGAATTCTGTTATCTTTGCGGGAAAAGGTGGAAAACGTGTCCCTGTATCTTCGCAGACGAAGATAATCTTTACGAATGAGATTGAACTAGCCGAGTCAAGAGAGTGCTCTAGGTCTGCCTTGGGGTGAACAGGATAAGGTACACAAATGATCTGGGAGATCGACATTACCTAGCCCTAGAGTCAATCGATCTCATTTATTTTCAAGGATTAGCCTAAATTGAGCATTAAGTAGCTACCTTGTCAACAATGAGGCATTTACTGACCTGTGGTTTCTAAACATGGAGAAAAAAGACACATATGTTAGCCATCATAATTGCATAGTCTTCTCAGTTATATAGACTTTTCTGTAAATACGATACAAAGTACTATAATAAGGAGCATATAAGTTCTTTATACCCCTCATTATGACTTCACTTAAAAAGGAATATTTGGTAAACACGGTCAAAGTTCTCGATGTTCTAAGACTATTCCACCTCGTTTTGCAAGGGAATCCACAATTTTGTTCATAAATCAACACATTCACTCTGATTTGGACTCAGATCACAGTGACTACTAACCGAGCTATGACACAGTTAGGAGAACTCATGAGTAAGATTCGGGGACGCATCTTCACGAGGGGTGCAGCCCTGTCACTGGATAAAGAGCTTGAACAAAAAGCCTCGTCAAATCCTAAAATGCAAGGGAAGATGTCTGCGGTGCCAGGTGAGTATGTTATCTCGGATGATAGCGATGAAGACTTGCTTGATGAAGGCTTGGATGATCAGTATGAGTGTACATGTTGTACGGAAAAGTATCCGCAGTCGGATATTATTCAAACCGAATGTGCTCACACTTATTGTCGGGAATGTATTGTGCGCCTTTTTGAGAATGCCCTTGCAAACGAAGCCTCATTTCCTCCTCGATGCTGCCGCCTGCCAATTGCTGTCTCTATCACCGTCGAGGATATGATAGGCATTGAGATTATGAAGAGATACAAGGAAAGAAACACCGAGGTCAACGACTGTCATAGAACTTATTGTTCAACCTCACCCTGCTATCGCTATATCCCGCCACAGAACATCCGCCGTGGGGTGGGAATCTGCCAGTCCTGTGCCGCTCGAACGTGCGCCGATTGCAAAAGGCAGGGACATAGAGGTAATTGCAACCATCAGAACACCGAGAAGTGTAAGCGTGCTTCTAAGGCAAAGAATCGTAAGCGTGTTTCTAAGGTCAAGAAGCGCAAGAGAGCTTCTAATGCCAAGGAGCGGAAGAGTGCTTCTAATGAGAAGGCTAAGCAAGCTTATGATGACGAGATGAATGATAATTTGCTGGAACGCCTGGCAAATAGGAAGAAGTGGAAGCGATGTTCAAATTGCTCTAGAATGATAGAGCATATCGATGGCTGCATGCACATATCGTAGGCCGAATGCTGCTCCCGTGAATCTCAGAACCCTTGAAAACTGACCACGTCGTCTAGCTGCCTATGTGGATGGGAATTCTGTTATGTGTGTGGCGAAAAGTGGCGGAACTCCCGTCATTGGTGAATGTTCTTCTCGTACTCAATCAAGACTTTACCCAAGACTATGCTACGCTCAGAGAGTGGTCTCACCTAATTAGGCAAGGTATTTTTTTGGCACTCAATTTCAATACGTGTGAGTGACATATACCATAGTCCAGGCCTCGAAAATGGTAGCTCAATACACTAAAGATCAAGAAATCTATCACTATTCATGAGGCCTGTACAATCCATCCATAGTACATATGGATGGGCTTGTAGTAATGCCAGGCTACTATTATACATAAGAAATAGCATACTTAACCTCTGCAATTCATCAATGGTATAGCGTATGAACCAGCTACCATAACGCGAAAGTTTATCCAGTAGTGCCTGTATTGCAGTACGCGAACCAAGCCTCTCTTCCTGCCAGCGCCGCTTCAAATTATCCACGTCTCTTTTTGTTATACAACTCCCCTGATTTATAGGATCGGTAGGATTGGTGGCTGTTGTACGACGAAAATCGAGGATCAAACGATTTGGAAAGAATCTTAAAGATACTCCGACCGATTCCGTTTTATCTCTCGCTGGCGGTGGGCGGTCCATGTTGATACTAGTGATCCTAGGTAGTTGTGTATATGACTAGTAATAGTCATAGTATAGCGATCGGTAAGGATATCGTAAGGATATCTCGACGACAATGCCTTCCACCACCGAGCCTACCCACCATGTCTGCCACCATGCCTTCCATCGAGCCTGCCGAAGTACGCCCGCGAAGGGGCAACTAGTAGAAAGATGTACCGTTTCAGGGATTTTTTCAATGTGACGATCTTCATATGTCGTGGCAGGCTCGGTGGAAGGCATGGTGGAAAGCATGGTGGGTAGGCTCGGTGGTGGCTGCCACAGGCATGGCGATAGAGATAGAACAGAAGGAAGAAGCAATAACTGAGGTGGAAGTTCATATAGAACTCAGGTATGATCCATTTTTCTCCACTTTTTGCATTTCATTGCCGCCCCTGACCGCCTAACCAGGTCTGCTAGCCGCATTCTCCTTGGGAAATACTCAAGGTTGTCATTGGCTTTGTCGACCAGTCACCAAGCATTCAGCAACTTCAGCTATCAGAGCTAACTATGCCGTCGTTGACATCAGGCTAAGCGCTAAGCCAGGCTTTCCAGTTGAACAAGCGACGAAACTCGTTCCTACGATTGATCCTGACATGATTGAGCCACTTAACCGCTTTTCGGATATGCTTGCCGATATGAACAGCGATGATCCTGTCATTCGATGCTGTGCGGCCGCACAGCTTACAGTATTATTCCCTTTAATGAAACAACTCGCCTTTGCAAAGAACGTCGCCGGCGTCCATTATGCTGCAAGGGATATGGATCACAGTTGTCTCCGGTTCCTGTTCTGATCTGTAGGGAGTAAGTCGTCTTGTATCTCTTTTTATTCCCTTGATTTCCGTGACACCCTGGTCATGCCCAATGTTTGTTTGAAATTCTTGCAGTTGTCTATCTCATGATAGAGACTGTTTGTATTTTATTTTTCTGTTTCAATCCTTCATCGTGACGATCCTATCATGATAGAGTGTACCCCGTACCAAAGTCAGAACCCCATTGCTATTTTGGGACAGAAATCTCAGACTAAGCATATTGTACCAGCAAGATCTTATTATAGACAAAAGTTGCGTCTCTATACTTTTTCACTGTGGTAATCGTACATATAAGGATTCCCACGTAGGTGAGAGTTAGCACTGTTTGTATATATGGAGTAACTCAATGGTTCTTTTACGGAGCCATCTACGAAATGGAACCTTGGAGGAAAATCCTGATGCGAATTCTATCCTTTACAACATCTTTACTTTAATTTCATTTATGATTATATCATTTCTTTCGACTTCCTTTGCATTCTTTACATTAGATAGATTGTTTGCTAGATAGTTCTATAAAGCGATACGTATATTATAGAAATTTCAAGTGGGATATACCTCGACGAGGTCATAGTAAAAGTCCCCCAGGACCGATACCAGATATATACCGACCTTATAAAAGCTATAACTATGAAAACATATAGCTAGAAGACTGAAGCAGTGGTACAGCTAGCTCTGTAAAACTTGGTCTTCCCGAATTTATACACTTGGTACCTT